TATGAAATTACCATATGACTGGGGGAATCAACATCGATTAATTCGATTAACCATCTATGATAGGGGGTTTTGAATGGTTTTGACTCATAATAGCCATATATGTTAGTGTGACATATTGTGAAAACAAAAAGCAGAAAGTAAGACCCAGCTCTTGTTTTTTTCTGGTTCTTTGAAATTGTTGTTCATTTTTTGTTTTTGAAGCTGTATGAAGATTATGATTTCAGAAGGTTTGTAGGCGGATCATGAGCCAAATAAAATGAGGATTTAGCTTATTGAACCATCGTTACCCAGTGACCAACACTTTTCATAGGGCATTCATCTGGAAAGGAGCCATTCAACAGCTATCTGAGATTTAACCCGAGGGTAGTGCAGGGGATCATGAACCAACAAAAAAAGGGGATTTAACCCAACAATGGTGGGAAACACTTGGGAAGTAATGGGGATGTATACACACATACTATTTATATATATATATATATATTTATTTGTATGGATAAATCATAAGGACCTCGCTGCAGCTTTGCAGATTGGTCAATTATGATGAAGTTTAGCCAGATTAATATCTGATATATCTGGATAGTGACTTGATAATATACCGTCATTTCTAGTTTGTAGTGACATGGAATGACCAAACCACCATGTCTAATTCAGATTTTACTGACCTGATGTTTTGCAAATTCCAACATGTTCTGCTTGCAGGCTTACGTAATTCATATAATATTTCAGCGAGATAGTATCGGAAGATTGCATAAATCAAATGTAGAGATAAGAAGTATTGCGAGTGATGCAGTATACATAAGATGATTTGCATCCTGGTGTATGTACGAATTTGTATATATGCTTGTGCTTGTATGTACATAATATACTTGTCTGTTTTTTTGTGTATGTATTATAATATTCGAATATAATATACAGTATACACATATGCCAACCAATGCACATGACTTACTATTCAATGAATGCATGCGTAAATAATATTTTCGGATCTCCCTCTATCCCTCTATCCCTCTATCTATCTATCTATCTATCTATCTATCTATCTATCTATCTATCTATCTATCTATCTATCTCTCTATCTCTCTCTCTCTCGATCTATATCTCTTTCTATATATATATATATATATGCACAGACATACAGGCGCATGCTAGCATATCTACATTTCCAAAGCACGAAGCCTTCACAGCCCAGGGGTCGAGTCTTCTCCTTTACCGGCGCGAGCAACAACAGTTCTTCATTCAGTCCGCAAGTTTCCCAGGCATCGTGAATCAGCAGTGGATGTGGTCAGCCCAATAATAAACCAGTATTCTCCAAATCCCATAATCAACCTCTGTCGGGGGAGTTGGGGGTGGTTTATTTTTGGCTTTACCAGATTCATCTAATTTGATCAGAAGAATGTCAGTGCAGAAAGGCTTTGTGGTCAAGAAACCATGGTGCTTTGGAGTGTTTTTTGAAACCTCAGCAGATATCTGGGGGGCTCCTAAGCATGTGGGTACCCCCAAATCATCGAAGTCATTAGACTCATTAGTGACTCATTAGAGAATATTATAGACTCAACAAAATAGACCATTTTCGTATTGAAACCATGGCCATGTTTCGCCACCATCCGATGACCTTCAGGGCGAGGAGGGGGAATCCCCGGCCTTCGGACGAACTCGAGCAGGGGATCTTAGACCGCCATGGCGCCTGCGTGTGGATTGTCTGGGGCTACACTGTGGCAATGGGGGGTATTTCATGTGGAGAAACCATTGAATTGGGTCATGACTTTAGGGCTTAATCATCGGACTCAACCAGTTGGTCATTGCCAGAGGGTAGCATGAATATGGGTTTGGTACCCGAAAATTCTATATAATTTTAAAATGCAATTTGATGGTTACATAGTCCATTTTTGGACAAACACAAACATTAGCATCCGCATCTCACATCAGCATCAATGCCACTGTCACAATCATCATCAGCATCATCAGTATGTAATCAGAATGAGATCGTCAGCATCCTCACTCTTCATCGCTCCTCGTCATAATCATCCTTATTTTCACATTGCTTATACGCCCGCTATCGCCTGGTTTGAGGGTATTATCAATACATGATTATCATGATTCTCTGAATATATGCATCTGTGATTATTTGTGTATATATATATATGTATATACATGATATGTCATTATAAGATATATATATATATTATACACTGTACAGTATATACACAATGTATATACATAGACATATCTATAAATGTGAAATTATATGAACACATACACATATCAATGGATCGGTTTAGGGTACATTTTGCAGGAACCGCCATATTTCATGGAAAAACCAGCTGTTTCCTTTAGATGTTCCCTCAAACCAATCCATTGAACATAACACGCCAGCCAGTGCTTCCTCTATGAGGTTGGAGGCCGCAGCTTTTCTCGCGCAGCTGGCTGATTCTGCGATTTATGTATATTTATGTTGGGGGATTGTTTTCCACAAGGTTGAGTCGGAGTCACCCCAGCTTTCAATGGAAAAATTGTGCATAAAGATGTAAAACTATATGCGCATAAAAAAAAAGAATGGTCTCCAGTTGCTTATTTTAAGTGCGATAGATATAGGTACATTGTATGTCAAAATCAATTAACCAATCTATCTAATATTATATATATAGATATATTACAAACATATGGACGTTTGCATCCTTGGTTCTGTCTATGGTTCTGTGGCTAACAGCGCATCATGGCCAGGTGGGAACTCTGGAGGGAGCGGCGGCTTGGAAGAGCGATTGCAAAATATGGAGGAGCTCTTAGCCAGGCCCCGCGGCGCGGAGTTTTCAGCGCCCAGATGCTGAAGATAGATATATATATATAGACATTAATGGATATTGGTATATAATGCTACATACATGCATGCATACATACATGCATACATACATGCATGCATACATACATGCATGCATACATACATGCATACATACATACATGCATCCATACATGCATCCATACATGCATACATGCATACATGCATACATGCATACATACATACATGCATACATACATGCATGCATGCATGCATGCATACATGCATACATGCATACATGCATACATGCATACATGCATACATGCATCCATGCATCCATGCATCCATGCATCCATGCATCCATGCATCCATGCATCCATGCATACATGCATACATGCATACATGCATACATGTGAGATTCTCAGGTAAAGGTATTCATTCCAGTCAGCCACAGCATGTCATTCCGAGATCTCATGCCACAGGTTCACATCCATTGTAACTCTGTGGCCCGAGGGATCCCTTTTGCCAAAGCAGGCACTTGTTACTTTGGCCTTCTGTAAGGCCTTGGAGGCGTTCACGCCTGAGCCATAGCGGAAAACCGCGCTGCGCCTTTGCACTTGGATTGGTTGTGGAAATCGAGAAGTGTAACAAGTTTCAAGTGCCGAAGCCAAGGGCTACCTCACATTGGTAGCGGAGCCCGGCGGTCTGCTGGGCAGCTCCAGCTTGCTGGCTGGGGCACTACGTCTTGCGGTCCTTGGACATTCTGGACTTGCCCTACGGTGACTTCATCTACGACTACGCTAGCCCTACTTCCTTGAAGAGCCCTACAGGAGCGAGAGGAGCCGAGAGGAGCTATGTCGACCTCGAAGAGTTCCAAGGAGCTGGCAACATGGGATGGAGAGCCTTCGACCTGGGGAGACTACTCTCGCCGTGTACGTCTTCATTGGGAGATGACCCCACGGCACAAACGTGCACGTCTGGGGCCAGAGCTTGCTTCGAGACTGACGGCGAGGGCATGGGCAATCACACCTTCGTTGGACCACCGACGACTGGGAAAACGCAATGGCACGAAGTACCTGCTGAAGTTCTTGAAGGAACGCTTGTGCAGGACAGCCGTTCCTGACGCAGGCGCGAGGTTGGAGGATCTTTTGATCCGCCTGAAGAGGCCATTGGGTATGCCAATGTCCCAATGGGCCAACGAAGTGATGGAGGCCTACCGGAAGGTGCAAAGAGCACTTATCCGTGCTAGGCAGCAGCAGAGGGGCAAGGAGGTTGATGAGAAGGCCACAGTGTCAGAGCCCCACAGAGAGCCACCTTCAAGACCTACATCGCCGACGATGAGATCGCCATCAAGACCAAGGAGACCCACCTCGAGTCCTACTGGCCGACCACCGACGAGCCCTACCTCGAGGATGCAAGATGCGGGTGATGGAGAAGCTCATCAAGATGAAGGCGATGGTCGTGGTGACTACGAGCCTGTGCCCGAGGAGTCAGAGCCTGATCCAGGACATGAAGATTGGACAGAAGAACAATGGAAGACATGGAGGAAGCAGAGACGCCAGGAATGGTATGAGGATGATGAGACTTCCAGCGGCGAAGACTATCCCTGGGACGAGCTCCAGACAGAGAACTTGGAGGTCTTGCCGGATGAGATCTTGGGCTGGTTGTTGTTGAGGCGTGCAAACCTCTCAGCAGCCAGTCGACTGTCAGTGCAAGCCTCAGTGAACAACTCACTGAAGTTTGGAGACCTGGAGGTTGCCTTGAGAGACCAGGAGGAAGAGCTACTCCAGGCTGACGCCAACAGGTCTGGAGGACAAGGCCGACGCAGGTCCTTTTGGGTTGAAGAAGATGGTAACTGGGGTCTTCTCACCTCAGCTGAAGACACCCTGGACGATGGAGCTGAGATTCACTGGGTAGGCAATCAGCTGCCTGCTGATGTCTACGCGCCATCTTCCTACAGCACTGAGGAGCACTATGAGGATGACGAGGTCTACTGGCACTTCGACTACGATGGCTGGCATGGATATGTACGAGATGGAGAAGGCTACTGGTTGGAGACCGATGGGTATGGCATCTATTGGTCCCTGGATGATCCTGAGACGGAAGGCTTCTCTGCTGAGGAGAAGAAGGAGCTGGAGGAAGCCATGAGAACAAGATGAACACCTTCAAACAATCCAGGAACTTCCAAAGAGCCAAAGGAGCCAGCCGAGGCTTCTACCCCGTGTCCATGATGAAGGGCAAGAAGGGTTCTGGAAAAGGAAAGAAAGGAAAGAAGGGCAAAGGCTTCAACACTACATCATCTCCGAGCTCTACGGCATCACCGAAACCGCTGTTTGCGGCCCAAGGTTCTGACGGGAGCACAACGACCTCCGGTACTGGATGTTTCGTGTGTGGAGATCGAGGACATGGGTTTCGCAATTGCCCGAAGAGATCGAGCACTTCTACCAGTTCAACCTTTGGCAAGGGCACCAAGAAGGGTACCTTCTGGGTGGAGTCAATGACTTCTTCACCTTTGGCCTTCATTGGCATGGTGCTACGAGAAGAAGAGGTGCTCTACAACACTGAAGGTTACGGGGTGCTCGACCTTGGGGCTACAGAGACAGTGGGAAGCTTGGAGGCTGTGGAGAACCTGATGCGGCTTCGAGCTCAACTTCGTGGAGAAGAAGATCAGGTTGAGGTCTTCCATGGACCTTCAGCCAGAAAGCCATTCCGGTTTGGGAATGGAGGAGTTCAGATGAGCAGTAGCTACATCTTAGTGCCGCAGAAGGTTGGATCCCAGACCTTGCTCTTGGGCATGTTTACTTTGGATGCGGAGAAGGTTCCCATCCTCATTGGAATGAAGACCCTGCTTCGTCTTGGAGCAGTGATTGATGTCAGTGGCTGGATGGTTTTGAGCTGCGTCGCACCAAAGGCCAAAATTCCTTTGAGGCGCACCAAAGCTGGCCACCTTGTAGTTAGTCTCACTGAGGATTGGTTGAGTTTGAGCCAACCACTTCATGACAACCGTGAGAGCGCTCGAGCATACATGGTGCAGAATTTGGAGGAGAACACACAACTTGATGTCTTGCCACATCCTGTCTCCTTCATGCCCTCTTCACACAACACACCATGTACATGCTCTCCGTGTCATGTTGCTGAAGCAGTTGGGGATGTTGTTCATGATTGTGAAGATGTTTGGATGACTGCTGATGGTGGAGATGGAGATGACGATGAAGATGAATTGCAGCATGAGGCCGTGTTCATGATGAACCCGGGACATCATCATCAACCACTGCAGCAGGTGGATCAAGCTATGAGGGACGAGATTCTCGAATCTCTTGCCCGAGCCAGTTCCGACCGTGAACGCTCCCCTCGTGGCCATGGCGCCCAAGAAGGAGAAGGTGGACTCCAAGACCAAGGTCCCGGCCACAGAGCGGTACGACTACCAGAGGACGGAAGGGCCGAGGACAGACGACCCTCGGTGCACGGGGCCACCGTGCTTTGGGGAGCACCAACCGGCCAAACCGGGCCGCGGCAGCCCGACCGGGTGCAATGCCAGCGGCACCTGGGTGGCATGCCAAGCGTGTGGCCTGAGGCTGGCTTACACGCCGGCATTTGGTGCCCACGGTCTGTCACGGCAGGCCGGACCACTCCAGCAGGACGTGAAGAAGCAGCTGGAAGAGAAGAAGCCGGTCAAGGGATCACCCGACCTGAACAACAAGAAGATCGCCTACGACGCCCAGGAGAGATCTCTGGAGGACAAGCTGGAGAGGATCAAGCAGGAGAAGGCAGCATGGATCCAGAGCCAGCGCCAGAAAGATCTCCAAGCCCACAAAGGGTACAATGGGACTTCGACGAACAGCCAAGGAGGTCCCGGGAATCCCGACCATGGCCACCGAGGCCAGTCTTCAACGCCTTTGGCACCAACTTCCCAAGGCGTCGTGCCCAAGAAGACCGAGGCGGTGATCGATTGCGAGGAGGAGATGTACAAGACGCCCGGCAGGAAAACACGCCGAGCGGACGAAGCACCGGAGAACTTGGAGTACAACCAGCGGGGCAATCAGGACGAGAAGGACCACTGGAGTCTGGTGTCCTCACCACCAGGCAGCAACCCGAGCTGAACATGGCGAATGAGGCCAAGCCTGAGAAGCTGGAGACAGGAGCAACAGTGTCACCAGCGCGGAATTCGACTTCATCGAGCTCTATGGCAATTGGGATGACGTCCACCAACTACGACCTTTATGAGCGCGACTATGGTCAACATGGTGGAGGAATGGTCGCAGAGGAGCTGCGACGATCAACAAGTTTCACACCTGGCGGCATTTTGCCATCAGGACACACGCTTCGGGGAAAGCGGAAGTCCAACTATGAGCCTGAAGAGGACGAGGTTGTGACGGAGAAGCTGAAGCCTGAGGAGACGTCCTTCTTGGTTGAGGAGGTCACACAGTATAACGAGGCCCTTGACGAGATCTTTGTCTCACTGAATGCCATGTCCCCTGACTATAAGGCCCCAAAGGTTTTGGAGCTGTGCTGTGAAGATGACAGCGGCATCACTAAGGCCGTTGAAGCAAGAGGAGGAATTGGCATCCGGTGTGGACTTTTCAATGGATGCGACCTCAACAAGAAGAGCGGCTTCCACAAGGTCTACAACCTCATCGTGGACGAGCGGCCAGATGTGGTTTGGGTGTCACTGCCTTGTGGCCCGACTTCAAGCATTCAGGAGCTCAACAAACTTACTCCTGAAGGCAAGGCGAAGGTTGAGAAGAAGGTTGCTCAGTCCAAACGTCTGGCAGCCAAGGCCGTGACGCTAATGGAACTTCAACAATCTCAAGGAGGTGAAGTGGTTCAGGAATGGCCGCGCTACAACAAGGGCTGGACTTTCAGAAGCATTCAAGCCTACTGGAACACCATGCCTTTCCAGGAGGCAACCGTCGATGGATGCGCATATGGACTTCGAGCTCCATGCGGCGGACTCATCAAGAAGCCCTGGAGGTTGAGGGCAACTACCAAGCGAGTGTGGAAGCTGCAAAACCTATGTCAATGTCAAGAACCTCATGTTCCTTGTGAAGGAGGAGCTCTCACAAGGATGACGGCCTTCTACCCGGCCAAGATGTGCTTGCAGACTGCAAAGATGGTGGAAGAGGTCCACTATGACCGAGTTGCGCAGGCTTACGCAGCTGAGGAGATGCCTGACTGCAACACGGATGTGCTAAAGCAGTTCACCGACCAGGAGGTGCAGTCTACAGCACTGGAGGTTCTGAAGCTCCACAAGAAGCTTGGACATCCCAGCCGACAGGCCTTCGTGCGGATGCTCAAGGACAGAGGTGCCAGTCTGCTGATCAGAACGCTGGCATCCATCGTCCATTGCCAGGACTGCCAAGAAGCTGCAATCCCACCTTCGAGGAGAGCTGTGACATTGGAGCAGGCGACGGAACTCTGGGAGGTGGTGCAGCTCGACAACATGGAGATCACAGTGGGCGAGGAGACTTTCCACTTCCAGATTGCGGTGGATGAAGCTTCAGGCTACGGGGCAGCCACCTTCCTTTTCAAGCATGATGCTGCTCCAGGCTGTAGCCGCAATGCAACGAGCCAGGAATCCATCGAGGCCTTCTACAAAGGATGGATCCAGTACTTTGGCTACCCGAAGATTCTGAAGCTGGACAAAGAAGGAGCTCATCGCGGCCGAGAACTTGAAGAATGGGCTGAGAGCCATGGACTGGAAGTGGAGGCCATCCCTGCAGAATGCCACGGACAAATTGGCCAAGCTGAACGGATGATTGGAACCTTGAAGCAGAAGCTGATGACGCACCTGCGATCATCCGACGCCTCACCTGAGGTTGCAGTTTGGGCGATGATGGGAGCCCACAATACCATGGCTAATGTTGCAGGGTACACCCCAGCACAATGGGTGTTTGGACGAAACTTTTCTCAGTCCGAAAGGTTGCATGATGGGCCTGACTTGCCCTACTGGAGCGGAAGGTAAGCTTGCTCTGCTCGCATGCAACACAAGCTTCAATGCAAGCTGGAGGCCGAGAAAGCCCACAGAGAAATCACCATCAGACAGAAGGTGAACATGGCAGCCAACACCAAGATGCCACGACCTGTTCGCTATGAACCCGGCGCCTTGGTGTACTACAAGAGGTATCAGCCACCATCCAACAAGGCTGAGAGATCCCATCAACGACTTGACATCCCACGACGCAAAGTTGCTCGATGGTATGGGCCTGCCAGGATCCTCGCGGTGGAGACCAAGGTGAGCTATGATGGCCATGTCAGACAGCCATCCTCCAATGCTTGGATCATTGCAAGCGGCAGACTCAAGAAGGTGTCGACCACCCAGTTGAGGCACGCTAGCCCTCGAGAACGTGTGGTGGCTGAAGGCACAAGCCAACTGACTTTGCCATGGACTTTTCAGGATCTTTCTCAGCTCATCAACAAGGGCGAGTATGACGACGAGGTCATGACGGAGCGTCAACTTGAAGCAGACGCCCGACGAGTGCGAGCCCAGTGGGATGAGGAGCTGAGAACAGAAAGATCGAGCATCAAGAGGCAGCTGCAGCCTGATGGACTTGGACTTACGGGGCAGGCAGCTTTGTCTCAAGATGCTACAAGGCAAAGAACGACCTCACCAACCCCTGAACAGGACGAGGAGATCGTGGATGACGAAGATACCGAAATCGAGGACGCAGAAGCAGATCCACGTCATCAAGTTCCACCTGAATGGGATGCAGATGGAGTCCTTCATGGGCGAGATCACTTTCCTTTTGGTGCCAATGAAAATGGCCCGCTCTTCAAGCACCCTCAGTTTCTCGAAGCCCGAAGACGCCATGAGATGGGAGAGAGACCTCATCATGTTCAACGACAAGAATTCCTTCATGGCGGAGCTCACTACAACGAGAAGCTTGAGGAGGAGGAGAACCCGGACTACTTCCTGGACACCATCAACTTTGATGAGTATGCCTTCGCGGTCACCTTGCCCACTCCGAGCTCTGAGGCTGAGTGGAGGTCCATCGTCAAAGATCCTTCACGATTTGTGGCGAAGCGAGTTGCCAAAGGTGTGGAGGTGTCATGGCAGAAGTTGTCAGAGGAGCAAAGGAAAGCGATGGGTGAGGCAAAGCAAGTGGAGATCAATGAGTGGGTCAAATCCCGCGTCTGCCGAGCTGCTCTGGGAGAAGTACCACCTCATCGACTCATGAAGATGAGATGGGTCTTGGTTTTCAAGGCCACGGACGACCCCAACCAGGTGAAGGCAAAAGCTCGACTGGTGGTGGTAGGTTTTACAGACCCTGATTTGGGGCAAGACCCTACCAGGAGTCCGACCCTGACTCGACGAGGTCGACAAGCTCTACTCCAACTGGCGAGCCATCGTGGTTGGGAGTCCCTGAAAGCAGATGCAAAAGCTGCTTTCCTCCAAGGAAAGGAGACTCAACTGAAGAGGCAGATCTTTGGGATGCCGGTGTCAGAACTCCAAGAGGCCATGAACCTGAAGAAAGGACAAGCCGTCCAGTTCCTCAAGGCAGCCTATGGACTTACGGTTGCCCCAAGGGAGTTCTACATCATGGTGGATGACATTCTATGCCTCCTCCTAGACAATCATTCGTACAAGATTATGTGGTACATGGCTTGTTCGTGCTTGATTTTTCTTGTACTTGGCGAAACAAGATTTTAGCAAAAATTCTCGATTTTTCACGCTATACATTTTGATTTCTCATGGCCATGCTTAGGCCTGAATCTATCTTCTCTTAAAAGACAATGTTTTCATTGTCATTCCCATGCTTGAGCCAACACTTTGCCAAGATTCATTGTTTCATGCTCATCCCTTTGCTTGAGCCAGACATCTTTGACAGAATGTCATTCTCTTATGTTCATGCCCTTGCACCAAGCCAACATATTTTGACAACCAAAGATGTGTTTCCCATTTCTCCAGCTAGCCTATGTATCAATCTATATACACTACCATGACATATTTACTACCATGGGGTTCCTATATAACATCCAGAAAAAATGAATAAGTATAATATATAGGGGCTGGCCTATATATATATCCATGGCAATACTCCTGACATCTCACTATACCCCTGAAACCCAGATATTGTATATAATACATACCATCCAAAATTCCTTATTAATAGGTCTATTTTTTGATTATATAGGGGTAGGTAAGTATTTACAACCATACCATGGTGATAAATCACCCAAAAACACCCGGAGCTGGCAATGGATATTTTTGGAGACCATTGGAACCCACTAAAATCAGCAACCCTGGAAACCCTGGCGTCCCCCTATGGCTGTGCATGAGTTGGGATAATTTACGTCGTAAAATCCACGGAAGGACACTGTGGCATCTGCCACGCTCATATTCTATAGATGAATATATATATATATATATATATATATATATTATTATTATTCATGTACAAAATATTTCTAGATTCATGGGGTACATATATACATATGTGTGTGTGCGTGCGCGTGTATATATATAGTATATATATATATATATATATGCCGAAGTTCCCTTAAGGATGTCATAGAATCAAAGATAGTATACTGTGTGTGCACCGGACCCGATCCCACCATGAGGCATATTGCATTTTTCATCAGAGCTGGTCAAGGGACAATTGCATCTGTTTTGGAAGGCCCATGAGCCACCGACACAGCGTCGCACTGGTGGCAGTACGCTTATGTGTCCTTTTCTTCACACGCATGGTCCTTTTCACAAAGTCCTCATCCATCCATGTAGCACTATAGTGGGGGTTTAACCTCGACTCGCGGTCTTCCAGTATGCAATGATGTAGGATGTGAATTTTCGGGCGAACACGCCATAGTTTCTTTCCATCTTCGATTGCCTTCTGAGCCAGCGTCATGTAACAGTTCATGTATATACTGCCCAGAATGGTCTTTTGTCGCTGTTGCATCTCTGACAGGTGCATGCCACTGTGTGCCAACATTCGCATCAAAGAATCCATGCACCATACCGCTGTAGTCATCAGATCTAACTTCGATTGTAGCTCGGGGTCATCTGCTGTGGGAGGACGGGCACTGAACTCATGTTGCAGCCACGCCAAAACCACGAATGTGTCAAAGCCCTTGCACCTCAGCTCTGGGTAGTCGGACCAGTTCAAGTTCGCTTTCGTCAGCTTGCGAAGCACAAGACTGTGTTTGTGCAGTTTTGCAAATCTCTTCAGCTGAGCCGTGGCCTGCGCCAAGCTTCGCTCAATTGATCTTCCATGGAAATAACGTAGACCCACCAGCACTTTGATGCAGCTGCCTGCCAAATCGCGGCCACACCCTAAATGCCAGGTATGCAACAAGTCTGCTGATATCATCTTGACATCAAAGCCAGTCACCTTAGTCAGCTCGGGAACTTCGGATATAGGCCATGGCAAAGATGTCCACAGGGTAGCCTTCCATGGCGCATGTTCCGCCACGTCAGTGTAGGCATTGGTCATATCCGTATTCCCTTTCGTCGCTTCGCACTTCCAACATACCTGCAGAGCGTTTGAAAAATACATCCAGGCATGCGCATATGGGGCTCAACCAACATCGATGTTTTCTACCCACATGTTTTTTGGTATAAATACACAATTTATCAATGATTCCAAAATTATGCATGTTTTTTCACAATTTTTCGTGGACAGCTTAGGGTCTGTAGATATTGATATTGATCCTTCTGATTCCAAAAGCCACACACATACATTTTATATATAGAGTCAGATACATAACACATACATATGTCCTGGCCATGGAGACCATGGGTCCAGAGCCATGTCCGGGCCCTAGAGCTGCGTGGGTCGGGCCTTCTCCGTTGATGGGTTCTTTCGGAAGTTGAACAGCTGCACCAGGTACTTCCAATCACCCTTAAAGTTCATCACGTAGAATCGAAGTTTCACAGCATGGTCCTGAAGTATCATATCAATGTTGTCAACTGTGAAGTAATGAAAAATATTTGAAAATTCAAAGGGCGATGCTTCGCAAACACTGATGTGCAGGTCAGACAAAAAGTGTATATATATAATATCTTGAAGCCAGGGTGCCGATACATCACCAGGGATTGCCACACCATTGCGTGACAGCTCGTTCAGCGATCCACAAATGATTTTTGCAGCAGATTGCAGTGTCAGATTGACTTTTCCAGCAAAGACCTGAGTTTTCCCAGTTTCAAGAAGCATTCATCCAAACGTTTGCAACAACTTCACAAAAAAGATTGGACCCATATATTTCACCGAGATGCATAGTAACTCGATGGGATGGTGGTGATCAAAAAGCGACTAACTCCAGCATTTTTGAGGCATGGAGATAGATCAGATTGAAAATGAAAGGCCATATATGATCCTCCAAGAGCTTGCCCTTCGTCACCTGCATATATAGTCACATGACTTGGAAATTGAAAACCTGTCATGCTATATATATATATATATGTATATATAATTATATATATATACAGATATATATATATATATATAATTATATATACAGATATATTGGTCTCCAAATTTCAAAAAATCATAAGAAAAACAGACACCAAGGCACCATATAAGCTCAGGGGTGCAGATGCAGAAACCATAGAAGCAGCTGGATGGTCAGGAAACTCCTTCAACATGTGATGCCAGTAGTCGACCATCTTGTCCAATTGCACCAGCACGTTCAGGAAGCCGTTCTGAATCATTGCTGCTACCTGATTTCTTTTGGGACATATCAGGGCTAGTGAGTTCAATTGAGATCACTACCACATATCTAGAAAAACCATTTATGTGGAAATTGATGCAAAAATACATTGTAAAGAACTGTCCAGTAACCAATTGATGGGGAAGGACAAACGGCCACTCCACCAATTCCACTATAGGATTCCCCTCGTCGTCATACCCACTGCAAATAGGAATTTCGCGATACGCCACGTTGCAATCCAGGCCGATCCCACTCCGCATCGCTCGGTTGTGGATGCGGCTCTCATTGGTTTCCCTTGTCCTGATGCAGGACCGGGACAATTTGGGTTCTTGCCTGCCATAATGCAATATATAAAGCAATGCAGAATAGTGCAGCCACGGAACTGATTGAAGACAGCCTCAGGGATTCGACGATTAATGCATGCCACAAAATCAAGAAGCAACGCAGGCACAATAACTTAATATATTGCCATAATTGCTCATATGTACATACATGTATCTGCAAACAAGCAGCACTTCCTATTGCATCACCTATTTCGCGTGCATGTTGAACAGTTGCATTTCCAGTGCCAATTCCGGAGGCCAGCCTAAGTCAGATTTGAAAGGTTTCAATTGAAGGCAGTGACAAACATGTGAGATATATCAAATCGAGATTTTAACATATTTTAACTGATCGTTCACATGTCACACAAATATATGCCGGCCAAAGAACACAGATTCAACTGTGGAAATTCGATCTCGCCAGGATCCTTCAGATTCAGCACCTGCGATGGAGCGGGCCCAAGAATCAGCATGCCATGATTGGCAATTGCATGCATGCAGTCGGTTGGAACATTCACACGCGAGAGCACCCTATTTTCTCCACACACACATCGATGGCGTAGGTAAATCCCACACAGCCATGGTTTCAAGATTGGATTGAATTTGAATCATATCAATCGGTTAGACATCCCAGCAAGATTGTGCGCACGACACGTGCGCGTTTCAATTGCGCGTTCCCTGCCATGTGTCCCATGCACAAGAAAATTATTTGGAGAATGACTGCAGTGATATTGGAAGATAGTGTTGAAATGTGTTGAATATTAAAATATATAATAGTTACTGGGATCCATGGCAAGGTTCTAGGCGCAACGCAACCCCATTGAAAAACTGCCCCAAGAAAATTGGGGTCCGGAGTGCCATCTCCAGTGACATATGGGCACACGGCGCACTCACCTAGCTAGGCCGCTTGCTTCTTGATCTCTGTGATCACTGCACGTGCCTGAGCCTTTACCATACGCATGTTCTTCACCTGAGCCGGTGGGGCTGCATAAACACACAAAGAACATCTTTGGAATCAAGTGCATATATTTAAAAATGAGATATATCGGATTTTAACAACCACTAAAAATGTAGATAAATAGTTTAATGATAATGGCATGCATGGATCCGATGAGATTGAGACATATTGAGACTTGGAGTGCGCAAGCAATTAATCCACAAATCTCATAAGCTGGCCTCAGCATCAAGTTCATTCTTGAGATCAAGCAAGTTGGCCTCCGTGTCGATTGTCTTCAGCCTTGCAATGCATTGCAAAACCAAAGTCATGGGCAGAACCAGCATCACCAAATATGACCAAAGAGTGTTCAAAGGTGACATGATAATGTTATTTTGAGATGAGTAACTCATCGATGGCTTCTTCGAATCGGGTCTTGAAGTCGCCAAGGATCTTTCGCAGTCCATTGTTCTGAGGCAACTCCAAGCTGATGTTGCTGACGGCGTTCATTTCCTTCTTTAAGGAATTGCCTCACAATCCAGGCAGGTTGTGACGGGTGTGAAATCCAAATCTACAACCAAGCAAATGGGCAGCAACAAAAGTATTTTGAAAGCTAAGGCACACATCTCAGACTTCATCTCATCCATGGTCTTGGCAACCACTTCGCCCACCCGTCCATTGGCGCCAGATTTTGCCTTGGCCTTCGCTTTGGCCTTCGACTTAGCTTTGGGCTCCGCCGTGGTCGGTGCGGTGGAAGCATCTGCAGTGGTGGTTCCTGCACAGAATGGGGGATGCATGATATATGGAACGGATGGATGCATGGATGGGTGGATGGATGGACAAATATATATATATATATAACATGTACATATTTATTTATATATATATACATATATATAGAGTTAGATGTATACTTAAACAAATAATCATATATATTTATGTGTGTACCACGTGTGGGTATTTAAAATTTGAACAACAACACAATATAGCAATACACATACACATGAAATATATATTGCATATATATATATATACATCCATGTGTACAGAGGATTGGAGATTCTTCTGATGGGTTTGCTCAATTTTGAAAAATGCAAACATGCAGTCCTGCAGCTGGTGCCTGCACTGACTGCATCATTTGCTCCAAGCTGCCTGAAGGCAAGGCACATCGCTGTTTCGGGCCCTTTGGGCCACTCATCTTAGCATCCAAAGCACCGGCACTCGGTTGGCACTGAATGTTCACCTTGGACTCTTGTTTCACTTCTTCCACATCCTTCAACACGCAGCTGGTTTGGACCCAGTACTTGTAGAGGCTCGGAAGGTGAGGGCAGTCAGCATCTGGGATGCCACCCTTTGCCACTATGGCTGAATTTTTTCACGTGGAAACCCACGTGAAACCATCTCAGCGACGGTCAGCAGTTCCTTCTGCGTGCCCAGCTTTGAGCTCGATGTCTTCGAAATCACGATGTTGGCCTCGATTGCTGCCGCATCGCCATTCTTCTGAACCCACTCGCGCAAGAGCTGCTTTCTGTCCTGAAGGTTGGCATGCAACAAAAGGCAACATTAAGGCAATGCAGTTTTCACCATTTTTCATCAAATTTCACAATCAACATGTTTGAAACCCATGTCCTCCTTTGAGCCAGCCCACATCTTGGCCATGTGCGGAAAGGACTTGGCTCCATCAGCCGACTCCTCCAGAAGCCTTTTTAATCGCATGCCCTCCTTCTTGTGCGTCACCCAATCGACACGATCAGGTCCTGCTGTTTCGGCGACAGCTCTAGGACCAGGGTTCAGAAGTCCTTCAACTCTCGTGGCCTCGGCCAGGGCTGCAGCTTGTTCTCGTTCCACCTGACCTTTCATCAAGGCTTGCAAACCAGCTAGCTCAAGTGTGCGGTCTGGTGGGCCAGCCGCTTCCTGAAGAACTGGCCTGTCCGGCTTCTCCTTTTCAACGGCTGAAGCATCCGGCTGTTGGACAGGGATCTTTGGCTCATTGGTCGGAGCTGCAGCTTTGGGCTGTTGGACAGGAATCTCTGGCTCAGAGGAGGTCGGGGCTGCAGCATTGGGCTGTTGGACAGGAATCTTTGGCTCAGAGGTCGGGGCTGCAGCAGGAGGCTGTTGGACAAGGGCCATTGGCTCAGCAGAGGTTGGAACTGCAGCATCAGGCTGTTGGTCAGAAGTCTGGCCAGCCTTGATGGAGAGCACACCAAGCTTCTCCATGGGAGGCGCAGCTTCAGCGGTGATATCAATTGGCCCAAGGCTCCAGTTTCTGGCTTTGGCAAGGGCCACATACTTGTCTTTGATATACTTTACCCATTTCCCATTCTCCTCCTTGTAGTCGTAGAACTCTCGCTCCCACGACTCCCCCAAACTGGCCGTGGAAGCCAAGCTGTCTTCCTTCTCCAAGCTCTTCTCGTTCACTGCAGAAGTCACGTCATTGTCAGCCATCCTCTCATCTTCGTCGCAAAGTGTGGCTGGTTGATCCAAATCCATCTCATGATCACTCTGGCGGTCTGGCTCCTCCTCTTGCATGGGCACATCAGGCACAGTTTCAGGAAGAGCAGGGGAGGGCGCAGCCGAAATGTCTCCAGGGATCGTGTCTGGCAACGTGACATTCGAAGGGCCATCTTCCTTAGTGGGAATTTGACAGCTGATGTGCCAAGAAAAAATATATTTAGGCTAAACACACATATAATTCTATAAATATCAGTAACTATAACAGCATAAATATATACAAATACCCACACATTTATTTTTATATATATATATATATCTTGTGAAGTTTGCAGCTGCAACTTGTGCACCAGGGGTCTTTACAGACATGTCATGTCATACCTGCCGCTGTTTCATATCACAGTGGTGGGTGCTCTGAGCCATACAGCTGGCTGACGACCAGCGACGCTTCTCGCAAAAGCGTTGCCGCGCTGGAGGCGCACTTGGACATTGGGTTGGACTTCGTGGGCCAGTACCCCAATCTTGACATTGGTAGCGGAGCCAGCTTGGCCCTACCTTGTCTTGCACCTTTTGGCCTTGTGCTGGCCCTTGGTGGACATCGACTTCTCGCTGCTGCTCATTGGCCCTGTGCAGGCCTTGCTCTGGCTTTTGATCTGGCCTTGTGCTGGCCTCGCTTCTTGCGCTTCTGATCTGGCCCTGGGCAGGCCACGCTGCTTACAGGTCCTGAGCAGGCCTTGACTCTCTGCATTGCTGTTCTAGGCCCTGTGCTGGCCTCTTGCTGTTCTACCTGGACAAGCTCTGGTGTGGTGGCAACTACGTGCCTGGTGATTGACTGCCCGGCGTACTACCTGGTCTACACCCCCTTCACTGCCTGAGGCAATGTCGGCTGGAACTGGATCGGCGAGTACCGCCGGAGACTACAACACCACGAAGGACTCCTACATCCCGCTGTTCAGCGGTGCACCCTCCGACTACAAGGAATGGAGGAAGAGGATCACCATCTATGTGATGAAGATGAGGGTCGCCAAACGAGAACCTGAAGGACTCCTGAGCATCATCAGAAGCCTCACTGGCACAGCATGGAAGCTCCTTGAGAACTTTCCCATCGACGAGATCGAGAAAGCGGGAGCCTTTGAGAAGATGTTGAAGACGCTGGACAAAGCCTTTGAGTATGACCGGACGGTCCAGCTTCCGAATGACTTCGACAGGTACTTCAGTCAACTTCAACGGCGACCTGGTCAGACCCTCTTGGAGTACACGACCGAGCACGACCACCTCTACAGCAAGCTGGCTGACCATGATGTGACACTTCCATCAAAGGTCCAAGGATGGCATCTGCTCCGAAGAGCTGGCCTTAGCAAAGAGCAGAAGCAATTGGTGACCACCCAGGCGCCCAACATGGAGCGGAACAAAGTTCAGGAAGCCCTCTTTCTCATCTTGGGTCAAGATCACAAGAGCGTAGCTGGCGGAGGACATCACCATGCCCAACACCGTGGTTTTCGCGGTAAGGGACGTGGCTATGCAGTCTACTATGAGGGCGACAACCAGCATGAAGCTGATGATTGGACTGATGACAACGACTATGACCATGACTATGAGGGAGGGTACTACGAAGATGAGGACTACTCCCAAGATCCATCGCCCACAGCTGCTGACAGCTACTATGATGAGACCTTTGAGGACTTCGACACTGATGCCGCGTACTACCAGACCTTGGAAGATGCAGATCCCTCTGAGCAGGCTGAAGAGTATGACTCAGCCTATGCATCGTACATCGATGCTCGCCGACGCTTCAACGAGATCAAGCTCAGCAGAGGATATCTGCCAATTGTGGCATTGACTGATGGAGGCAACCCGGCCTCGCCATCTTCCTCCTTGTCACCTGTCTCTCCGGGACGCGGCAAGGGCAAGACCAAAGCAAAGAAAGGAAAGGGCAAAGGTAGCTCCACCCTGGTGAAATACCCTGCCAGGGGCAAAGGGAAAGAGCCCGATCCCAAAGGGAGAGCGAAAGCCAGCGGCAACACGCCTACCTGCCTGAGGTGTGGCCAAGTGGGACACATGACCTACAACTGCCCTGTGCCCAAAGCTGGTGGTGGTGCATCCAAGCGCAAGACGGCACCGACAGAAAGCACCGTCGGCGACGTGGAGCACGGCCATGTGATCTTCACGGACGACCATGGGTGCGAGCGCCATGACTGCGCAATGTTGGACCCTGGCGCAAGTGCCTTCTTGTCAGGGTACGGTCCCTTCTATCGCTACATGCTGAAGCTCAAGGAGACCGACTACGACATCACCAAGATCAAGTTCATGCGTTGCAAACGCACCTTCTACTTTGGTGGTGATGCCAGCTTGGAGTGCACCTGGACTGTTCGCCTGCCCCTATGCATCGGTGGCAAATACGGCTATGTGCAGATGTACCTGCTGCCTGGTGAGACACCCATGCTGCTTGGAAGACCGATCATGGAATCCCTTGGATTGGTCCTGGACTGCCGCAGCCGTATGATCAAGCTCGACGACATGCCCTGGCAACATGCTGTGGTGGGTGCCCATGGAGAATACCTCATCTCCCTGCTGAACGAGTTTGACTCCAGCATGTGGCAATTTCCACCTGCCTTTGAACTTGTTGTGCCTGCTGATGGAGGAGTTGCCGGAGAGCTCATGGACTTTCAGACCTTCAACACTGAGGTCAAGCTCTTCAACTCCCAAGATGCTGTTCAAGCTGCAGCCCAAGATGATCTGCGTCCGACGCGACGCCACTTGCTCCAGACCTGCGACACCAAGCTCACTGCCCTTGAGAACGAGCTCCACGCCTACATCACCAAAGAGCTGCATCAGCCTGAGCGCAAACGAGTGCTCTGGGAAGTCTACTGCGGTGGAGCACGCGTCTCAGCTCTTGCAGAAGCGATGGGCATGGATGTGGAGATCTTCAGCTACGAGACTGGCTGGGACTTCGACTTGCAGGAGCACCAGGATCTCTTCACGCAGAGGCTTCGAACAGAAATGCCGGACGAGGTCTATCTGGCACCTTCATGCCACTTATGGAGCCAGATGCAGAACCTGGCCGCTCGAACAGAAGCCCAGCAGCATCAGCTCTATCTCAAGAGGAAGGAGCACCACTCATGCCACTTGATGTTTGTGGCCCGGGTCTACAAAGAGCAAGTTGACAACGCGCGGCACGCGCACATCGAGCAGCCCGAACGAGCTCTGAGCTGGCACACAGCAGCCTTGAAGGATTTACCTGGCTATTGGATCCTCCTGCACCAGTGCATGTTTGGCTGTGCTTGTTTGGACCAGGACGGACTCTGGAAGCTTGTGAAGAAACCGACAGGCATCCTGTCGAGCAAGGTCTCCATGCAGGCCGCACTGGCAAAGCAGTGCGATGGGCAACACTTGCACTGCCCTTTGGAGGGATCGGCACCTGGACTTGGCCGACGCACCTCCTATTTAGAGGATTACCAACCTGGCCTTGCAGCCACAATTGCAGCTGCCATCAACGCCCCAGACCCAGCTCAGCTTTGGGACTATGGACTTGCAGTCGCTGAGCAGAAAGAGGTCACTGGGTGCCTTGTGAAGCTCCAGACAGCCCTGAAGACCGAAGCAGTGCGCACCGTGCAGCGTCTGCACAGGAACCTTGGGCATCCCAAACCTGAGGCTTTGGTTGAACTTCTTCAAAGCCGAGGAGCTAGCGATCAAGTGATTGAGGCAGCTCGCCACTTCCAATGCACTGCATGCCTGCGCTACAAGCGACCCAACCAGGTGGCACCTTCGACACTGCGAAACCAGGTCCATGAGGTTGGAGAACGTTTGCAGGCCGATGTGCTGTGGATCAAGTGCAACGTCAGTGCCAAGAAGTTCCCCGTTTTGAGCATCATCGACCAGGCCACAAAATACACCGTGGCGACGTTGCTTCATGGAGAACGTGGTGAACACCTGATCCATGGACTTGAACGAGCCTGGATCAGGCACTTTGGACTTCCTCAGTGCTTGTGCTCAGATGAAGGACGTGGATGGGTTGGTGAGGAGATGAATGCCTGGACAACCCAACACTCTGTGGAGCACATCGTTGCACCTGCTGAGTCTCATCGTTTGTCACTTGTGGAGCGCCGGCACACCACCTTGCGCAAAGCCATCGAGATCTACATGGACGACTTGAAGGTCTCTGGAAGCAAAGGCATCCGGCAGGCGCTGACCTATGTGGTGCCCCAGCTCAACGACACCTTGAGCGTTGCTGGCTACACGCCTTCACAGTGGCTGCTTGGAAAGATCCCACGCCTGCCTGGTGGACTTTCACATGATGAACTCAGTCCTGCACAGCTTGGAGACCATGACCAATTTGAACAACTACTTCGACAACGAGCTGCAGCAAAGAAAGCGCTGATTTCAGCTGACTTGGACGCCAAGCTCAGACGGGCCCTGCTGCGCCAATATCAGGGAGCTGATTTGCCCCTGCAGATTGGCCAGAAGTGTTTCTTCTGGAGAGACCAACGCCAGGACAAGCTGGTCAAGATCCGTTGGCATGGCCCTGCACGGATTGTGATGGTCGAGCACTCCAAAGATGACAGACCCGAGCTCTACTGGCTCTCCTACAAGACCCAGCTCATCAGATGCTCGCCGCACCACGTGCGTGCTGACTTCACTGCAGCCGACACCCAACTGGCTGATGCTCAGGAAGCTCGACGGGAGGTGGCTACTCTTCGCTCTCGAGGCGTGACACGCTTCTTGGACCTCGACAAGGTCAACAAGCGGCACCACCCTGATGAACTCAACGACGATGAAATGGCTTCTGGTTCAGAGCCAGATGATGATGAGGGTGGTGGAGATGATCTACAACCTCCTTCACGACGACAGCGAACCACCTATGACATGATCCCGCAGGATGAACTTTCCTTTGAAGAAGCCATGGATCAGATGCAGCAACAGCTGGACCGAGAACAACAGCAGAACCATGATGAAGAGCTCTATGAGCCCAGCTTGGCACCAACTTCTCCAGCGAACACTCCTGCGGAACACCCTGAGTTCCCTGGCCAAGCACGACCTCCTGTTCTACCTGCACCAGCTGATCCTGCTCTATTGGCTCCTGATCCAGTTCCACAACCACCTGCACCGATCAATGTCGATGAGCCTGAGCCCAGCCGAGAACCATCGATCATGGCAACAGCCCCAAACACACCGATGAATGCTTCACAACCTCCTGCTGTGACTTCCACAGACATGAACCTCTACGAGCCTACGACAGCTCCTGACTTCCTGCAGCGTCGACGACAAATGGATCGACAAGAAACCATGCAGTTTGGCCCATTTGGACCTATGCGACGTCGAGCTGCCCAAAGACATGCTCCATATGATCAGGATCCACCCGAAGGTGAACAACACCCAGGTCAACGTGACCCTGCTTCTGAGCTCATTGGCCAAGCCTTCACGGTCTCTGACATTGGTGGTGACTTCTTGCCAACTGGTTGGAGTGTCGATGAAGAGGGTTACTTCCAGCTTGACACCAAGAACTACCATGACTATTGGGAGATCCGCGCTGGATGCCTCATCAGACACCATCTGCAACCTCGGCATCGACCTCACGACATCACCAAGACCAAGGATTGCCCTATGGAGCTGAAGCAGCTGGACCCTGTGCGGGTTACTCTGATGCGACTTCCCAATGGCATCAGGCAGATCACCACTGACCGCTATGACACTGTGGTTCCTGCCTCCAAGTCCTCTTGGACTGGCATGACGATCTATCAGATCAATGGAGCAACCAGGAAGGAGCTTGCCATGTTTTCTACAGCCCCTGCAAAGAAAGTGGCACGACAGGCCAAGCATGCAATCATCAAGAAGAAGCCCACTTCAGAGCTCAATGAGCGAGGCCTGACTATGATGGAACGTGAGCAGTTCATGCAGGCCAAGATCAAGGAACTCAAGAGCTTCTTTGAGAATGGAGTCTGGGAGTTTGCCCATGTCAAAGACACGGACCCACAACGAACTCTTACCTCAAGAATGCTGCTCAAATGGAGCAAGAACCCGGACGGTAGTCCGCGAGCCAAAGCTCGACTTGTGGTCCGAGGGTACAACGACCAGGACGCTCTTGAGGGGAAGGTTGAGACAACGGCACCAACAACCAGCCGGTTGTCACGATCCATGTTCCTTTCCTTGTCCGCCATCTTGAAGTGGTGCGGATGGACAGCCGATGTGGCCACAGCCTTTCTACAAGGACTTCCTCAAGAACGACAACTCTGGGTGAAGTTGCCACGCGAGGTGCTGACCATCCTCGGCGCTGATGATTCTACACGCATGCTGCTGCGCAAACCTTGCTACGGGCAGATTGACGCCCCAAGGCGATGGTTCCTGGAAGCCACACGACGTTTGACTTCAATTGGACTACGACCTCACATCCTGGATCCCTGTGCCTTCTTGATTTGCGAGACTGACTTTCCTGACATTGCTGCCACGGACCCCTCCAAATGCCTTGGCGCTGAGCGCATTGTTGGCATGGTTTGCATACATGTTGATGACATGCTTGGAGGTGGCCTTGAAGAATCGCTGGTGTACCAGCACGTTGTCAAGCAGCTTCGCAACATCTTCAACTTCCGAGAGTGGAAGGACCAGGATGAGCTTGAGTACTGCGGAGCCTCTCTTCAGAAGACTCCCAGCGGAGGATGGAAGTTGAATCACTCCGAGTACCTCAAGAAGGTCAAACCAATTGCACTGCATCGTGGCCGAGGTCCCGAGGACTACATGACTCCTGCTGAGACCACTCAACTTCGAGGTCTACTGGGATCACTTCAGTGGCCATCAGTGCAGTCCCAACCGCATTTGCAATGCTCTACATCTCTTCTTGCTGGACAACTCTCTGCCGGACTTGTGAAGTCCATACAAGATGCCAACCGCCTCTTGAAGTTCGCCAAGCTCAACTCCGATGTCTCCTTGTGCTACGAGCACCTATGTGGCATTGAAGATCTACGTCTGGTGACGATGGTGGATGCTGCATTTGGCATCAGACGAGATGGCTCATCTCAAGGAGGATACCTCATGATGCTGGTTCCCAAAACTACGTTTGATGGAGTTGAAGGGCCGTACCATGTGATTGACTGGCGCTCATCCAAACTGCCAAGGGTGGCCAGATCCAGTCTTGGAGCAGAAGCCCAATCAGCCAGTCAAGCGTGCGACAACATGGACTTTGTTGCCGCTACTACCAGCACCTCCTGGAGCCCAACGAGCCATTGGCGAACATCCTGAACAAGCCAAGCCCTCTTGAGCCCACGCTCATCACGGATGCCAAAGCGCTGTACGACAGCTATCACCGTGAAAGCCTCAGCAGTGGCCTCACCGACAAGAGGACAGGGCTGGAGATCAAGGTTCTTCGAGAAGGACTTGAAGCTCTTGGCGGCAAGCTCAAATGGATTTCGAGCGAACGGCAGTATGCCGACTCCCTCACCAAGGAGGCAACCAGACAGCTCCTTGCGGACCGCTTGAGGTATGGACGCATCAAACTGTCCTGGGATCCCAACTACATCGCTGCCAAGAAGAAGAAGCTTGCAGACAGAATTGCAAGCAGGGATGAGTTTTCCAAACCTCTGGAGACTGTCTCAGAAGAGACCGAGCTCAATGAAACAACTCCCATCGAAACCTTTGCTGAGCACCATGAACGAATCAGCTATGAGGCCATCACCTATGACGAGATCTTGGAAGACCACGACATGGCTGTTACAGCCCCAGCAGAGCTGCGTCGTGACCATGACGTGAACATCAACAACCTTGTGCCGATTGTGAACACGCAGGTTGACCTCGTCCCCTACGACCAGGAGACACAGTATGTGGATGACTGGATGATTTTTATGGTTCATGCATTGCTGCGCTTTGCCCTCAAGCTTGCGTTGCTTGCTCTATGGCTGCCACCTGGTGCTATGGCTCAACCTCTGGGCGATCCCATCTCAACCGAGATGTGCCCCCACATCGAGATCATTCCCGAAGAGAAGTCCTACTTCTGGGACTACGTCTGGGACACAGCTGTGCTCCTAGCGTTGCTGATCTTCGTGGCTGGCACGTACATCATGGGTTGGATGCATGGATGGTGGATTGGCCACAACCACGTTTTGAGGTTGAGGCATATCCGAAGCGACCGTTTGGAAGCTCGCCTTGAAGAGAAGACCATCGAAAACCTGGCACTGAAGGGCGAGGTGGAAGAACTTGTGAGACAGGTTCAGCAACTGAGCTTACCTGGTGGACCAATTCTGGCCGACCGTGAGGTCAAGCGCTTGCAGCAACAGCTTCGATGTTTGGAAGATAGCTTCTGGCAGAAAGACCAACAGTGTGCACGCATGCAGAGGCACAAGATGGGCTACATACGCCAAATAGGAAGGTTGAGGGCACTCTTCATAGAGGCCAAGGACGTGATTGGACGTGCACGTTCAGAAGCCCACAACCATGCTCACAATCGATGCACAGTTGGAAGGCCTACGTACCATGCTCCTCGAGGACGTGTCTGGCACTTGGATGATCAATGCTACCAGCTTCACAACAGCCAAGTGATAGAAAGGTATGCGTGCGACAACTGCGCGTCATACTATGTGACACCCTACATTCACGACCTGAACCAGCGAACGTTGGCCCAGGACATGGACGCCTTCATGGCAAATGGCATCAGCGATGAGGACCCTGAGGTCTTGGCTGAAGCGTCAGCGATACTGGATGAAGAGGCACGAATGAGTGCACTTGGTTCTTCGAGCAGTGCTGGCGTGTGAAACGCCATTTTCCAGAGATGCCAAAGGAGCTCTCTTTTCTTTTGTACCTTTTCCCCCGTGTGAAGTTTGCAGCTGCAACTTGTGCACCAGGGGTCTTTACAGACATGTCATGTCATACCTGCCGCTGTTTCATATCACAGTGGTGGGTGCTCTGAGCCATACAGCTGGCTGACGACCAGCGACGCTTCTCGCAAAAGCGTTGCCGCGCTGGAGGCGCACTTGGACATTGGGTTGGACTTCGTGGGCCAGTACCCCAATCTTGACATATCTATAAATAGATGATGAATGTATTTCCAAGCACCTCCAAAGGAGTTGCCCGTTGGAGCTTAGAAGGCTCGGCAGGGGCACCAGCAGCGACCTGACAGGACTCCAACTGCTTGATGTATGCAAGCGCTGCCGACAATTGATTTTGTAGATCTCCAGGCTGGCTCTCACCAAGCCTCAAGGGCATTTTGCAAGTAAATGTGGATTTTTTATGTACAAGGGCCCAAAGAAAAATGTAGAAACATCGTTTGTTAAACTTAATCGTCAATATACAATATATGAGAAAACATCAGCACATACCAATTCTGTGAGAAATCTAAAAAAATATAGACGCCAGAAAGTAAAGTTTCATATCAATAACTGTAATTACACATATTCACATGATAGCTAGCTGGCCATTTCAACAAACCCGTTCATATGTGCTTCCAAGGCTCACAATCGTGCTCGCAGTCGAGATGGAATCCAACTCCTTGGTCTGCTCGCCCAGCTTGTCATGGGGCCCCTGGTTGTTGACAAAGTCAATTGCGCGCTTCAAAGTATCACATGACCTCGGGAAGCGACAACACGGCTGAAGAAGTCGAAAAGTGATTCTATGATGTACTCTACAATATATGCAATGGGGCTCGGCTCGGAGCATTTCATTTCATGGTTCAACCTTTTAAACAGGTATATATTATGATATAATATGATATATACTGCACATGTGACATGTGTTGCAGCAATTTACATTTATTGCAGCCGAATGGCCATACAGTATCTTGAGAATCATGAGCACTGGGAGCTTTGGGGCTGGTTGGTGCTGGTTGGGTCGCGCCTTGATCACTGGGCTTGCCCACTGCGCGTCGACGGGAAGGCGTCACCAAACCATCCCCAGCAATTGCGTCCAACGGCACCTGCACTGGCGGCTTGCGCTTCCGGGTCACATCTTCTGCATGTTCAGGGCCATCTTCTGCATGTTCAGGGCCATATAATGCATAGTACTCTGTGGCGGGGGTCTCAACATCTTCGGCCTCCTCAGGAGGTACTGACTTGTTCTTCTTGGCATCGACCTTTCGTTTCTTTTCAGCTTTTGTCATCTCCTTCTTGTCGACATTCTTTGACTTGGACGCATTCTGAGACTCCTGCTTCTGCGTTTTCGCCTTTTTCCCATGCACCTTCTTGACCTTCTTGGGCTGGCATGCCGATGCACCGCTCTTGGCTTTTGCTTTGCCTTTCGGCTTTGACTTGGCTGCTGTCGCTTTGGCTTTGATGGGCTTGGAGGGCTGCGAGGGCTGCGAGGGCTGCGACTTGGGCGTTGGAGATTCGGCAGAATTGATATCCTTCTTCTTGCGCTTAGGCTTCGTCTCATTCTCCATGTCCTCAAGACAGAGGCACGATAGGTAGCGAGGCCGTGGTACCGGGTCATATATATATATATGCTATAATATATTAACATATTATATAACTATATCCCCTTAATGGCGATATCTTTAAAGCAATCGCACAATTCTGATCTCAGTTGATAATGGTGAATTTCGACAGCAAACATACGGTATAATATCAGATCGTTTAAAGGCTATCAGGTATATATCAGTATAAACTTACCAATTTTGGCACATCATGGAATTCTCATTATGCAACAAAGCGGCTGGCAACGGAGTAGGAGGTGGCCCAAGGACATGGTGCATGATTGTGAATGCCTCCGCCCTGTTGACCTTCAGGTGCTTGGCCACAACGTGCAACTTGTCCCAGGCCAGCTCATCAATGGGAAAGGGCAAGTTGCTCAAGGAAGCAGCCATAGCGACTACCACCCAGATCTACTATCCACCCAGAGCTGTGCACCAAAAATGTGCCTGCACGATTTATGTATGATATATAGGACCCATGGATACAATCATGAATCATGGCAGGGTGGATCTTGCATTCAAAGCCCGTGAATTTCGTGAAAAACAAAATCAGAAATTCCAGATATAGCTCAAATGTAATGGGAATTTCAGATTTTTTTTTCACGTTTTTCACGGAGTTTTCACGGTCATCACCTACTTTTTCACGCTCAATTCACGTTTTTTCACGGTAACGATTTCGCTGAAAAGTCCAGCCTAAGTTCTCCGACATGGTTGCAATGTGGAGTTTTGCACACTGCCCTTAATTTCAATCTTGCACAAATCCATTTTGGATTACTTCACATAGGGCTTCATGCCACGCTTGAGGTTGAGCTGCTGAAAGATTTCGGCCTCAACTCTTGATTTTCACATGCGCTGACATTTTGATTTTTGGCTGGCGATGCAATCAGACATAAGAAACCCTGGGGAACAGACCCATTGCCCCGTTGGCTGGAAGTGACGGCCACCAGCCAGGTAGCGAAGCGCTGCAGGAAGTTCTGCCTCGAAGGACGGGGCATGAGGCAGTCACAGTCATATATAGGAAATAAAAGATATATTATATTATGGGATTTTGGATGTATATATATATATATAAATAGAGTGTTTACCAAAGGGAAGCTCGAAACAGTTTGCCGTGCACTGCATATATCGGACCCATGTAAATTAATGCCAAGCTGCATCATGCCACAAGTCACCAAGGCATTCAATGGTGACGTTCCCCATGGGAGAAAAAACTTTGGCGAAGAGCTCTGCATCACTGCATGTCCAGTCAATGTTGACTTCCATGCGAGGTCCAGGCAAAGGTACCTTCCAAGAATCAAACAATGGCCAAGTTTGACAACCAAGTAAAACCCATCCCCATCGAAGCCCGCCTGACGGGGCGTCACAGCCACTGAAGCGATGCATTGTCCAAACTCAGGCGTGTAGGACCTGAGCATTGATAATTAAGATCTAAAAGGATTGAAATCTTAAGCCACACAGTTGCACTGGGTTTCCATCATGAAATGCACTATATACAACTTAAATTGAGATAAGGCACTGGCTCCTCTTCAGCCTGGATGCCACTCCCACATGGCGGCGCTTTCCACCTTTGTCGATGTATTTCCTAACCAGCCCCTGAGACGAGCCCGGTAGCGACCGTAGGGCCTCACGACTTAGCTGTCCACCTGGCCAGACCAATGAGAAATGCAGGTGTATATATATAGACCTACATATATATATATATATGTATATATAATATTATATTTATATAATGACGCCAGCAAATGCAAACATGCAGAAACCCAACAAAGTGTAGGTCATTCCCGCGCCTTGCTTCACCACTTCTTCCAGCAACTCTCGACAGTTGGACCAAAGTCTATGCCGTTTGGCGGTGTTTCCATTGAAGGCACCCATCCAAAAAGAACCAGAGAACACCTAGGAATTCATTCAACAATGCAACAGCAACAGAGCACCACCATGCACTGATATATCGGCCAGAATGCAGTATACATAGTTGAGCCAAGGTGCACGTCCAATTGCCAACACCTGTTGAAATCTCGGGTGCATAGGCAAAGAGCTCCCTTCCGGCTGCTCCACTACGAACCTTATGCCTCTGGCGAAGCATAAGATGAGGGCCAAAGCCAGCCTGGAACAGAATAATTTCCCAAGAGCCACAAATTTGTACCCCTGGTTACCGAGGAAGGAATTGAACACATCTCGGCCAGCAGTATGGCATGACCTGAAGCAACTGCCAGCGTTGCCAAAAAAAACAAGTTGATACAATGGTCACTGTAATCAACAAAATCACAGCGCTCGGCGCTAGGTGTAGATACCATGCAACTCAGCCAAGTCACATCTTGGTAAAGCTGTTGCAGCAAATCCCAAAGAGACATAGGCCGCCAGGCTTCGTGTTCCAGATCTCCCTGCAGACCAGCCTAAGACGCTATATATATGAGCACATATTCTAAAATGGAAAACAGCACTGATCAAGTTGCCCGATTATTCCACAACTGTGCATTGAAAACAACTTTGCAATTAAGCAACAGGAACCCGTGAGTGGTACTCATGTCCATGAGACTGGTGTAACGTACGTCATGACAGCTACCGACCAGCCCCATGTTCCAGCAAGCCAGTGTCACCGCAGCATCACCTGCGAAGACTTCCACAAAGTCATTCTGCAAGGCCGGTGGCTGGACAACACAAGGGCTTTGTCCCAGCATCACCACCAGCAAAATCAGCGCCGCTGGCGACTGCCATTTCAGAAGCGATGCGACCACCATATGGCACCCAAAAGCAAGGCTGCTATCAGCGCACCAGCTAGGGCTTTCGATCCAGGCTGCAATTGACTAGTATATATAGACGGTCAAAAAAAATTATCGCTGCAGGACTTTTGGTACGATTGTCTTGCCATTGAATGGAGAGCTGATTTGATGCACATCCCTGATCCATGCTGTATAGACATGAAAGCAGCCACGGCCCCCTCCCACATTACTTTTTTCCACCGATGCAGGTGCACGAAGTGCAAATAGCACATGCACACATTTCCATGCATGAGACCAAAATTTAGGTCTGCGTGATGTGTGAAAAATATGCTTCGCCATAATTCGATATTGAATTTCTAGTGAGTGCACTAACCACCCATGCGCTTGAACTGAATCACATCAAGTTGGGTTAGCCCGTATCCAATATATATATATATCTCTCTATCTAGCTGTTTGTTTGTCTGTCAGTCGTTCCTTATCTATCTATCTATCTATCTATCTATCTATCTTTCTATCTATCTATCTATCTATATCCCTCTCAATTAGCTGAATGTGTAGTTTCAATGACATTTGAAGGAACTTAATCATTCTGGGGTTTGATATTTGCAGTTCTAGGATGCCCATGGGTTAGTAGTGCAATCTTTGGAGACAAATCGCCTCTTCTTCAACTCAGGCAAATCCAAACTAGATAAAAGTTGTCGTTTCAGGTTGCCCCTGTTCCACTCAGCCTGTGCATCTTTCCAGGACATCCCAGTTGCCATCTTTTCAGAAACAAAATGTTTCCGTAGCTCTGAATAGCGCGCTGGGGTGTATGTCTCATCAGGTGTGGCCGGTTTGAACTCATCTGGCACAACAACGGCTGGCTCGGCCTTTGGGTCTCCTTTGGAAGCCTTGGCCACCTGGGCAGGAGCTCGGCGTTTGTTCTTCGACTTCTTCTTTCGTTTCTGGCGCGGCTTCTCAGTTCCTGGCTCATCTTGGTTGTCCACATCAGCTTCATCAGCTTTCTTGTATTGGGCGGACTGCGGAAACGGGGCTGGAGCAGTCATCATACATTTCTCTTCCAAGACTTTCAAGACCTCAGAAGTTTGTCGCGGTATATTTGTAATGCTGTGCACAGGGACATCTCCAATATCTGAATCTTTCATGTATAAACATGTTTATAACAACTGTATACTGTACCCGCAAAAACCACATATATACAGATTTGATGGGAAGCTGATTTTCAAAGTGGCATGGGACAATTTATGGCCTAGGCACATGGTCAGGGAGTTGACCCTTGGTCTCAACAGGCTTCTCATAGGAGGCACCATGTCTTGCATTTTTCAATGCCTCTGCCAATGCCATGATGTGATCAGCGCGTGGTTTTGAAGGCGGACTAGGAGTTTGGACATTGTCCCATGCCTCAACCTGCAAGCTTCGATTTTGCAGCAACTTGTCCCTTTTGCACTGAGGTGTCACCAGTCTTTTCGAGGACGAGCTTTGGGAACCCAGCTCGGACAAGGTGTCAACCGCTTTCATTTCACGTTCATCACCCGACTCGCCATCCACGTCATCCTCATGCAGGAGTGAAAAGTCCTCAGACGTCACCAAATCGCAGGGAGCAAAATTAGATCATGTGGTTTTCGGATCAGTTTCACAGACTTCCATGCGTGCGCATATGTACACGTACTGTTTTCACACCCATCGCAAACAAATCCTTTGTTTCAAAAACTGGTGCAAATGAGGGAACCACATGACCATCTTATCGGATCAGATCGAGTCGTCTTTCAATTCCGTGGGGTTCCCAAGAAGAGCTATCACTAATTTGCAACATGGTTAATATATGGATCAATATTCAGGGTTCTGAGGGTCGGTCTGTGTATATATAATATATATGTACTGATTTAAATATATATATATAATCAGATATATATTATGATTCATAGGATGGAATTTTATGTATATGATAATATATGCAGCCATGATTCACAAATGCCACGCAATGCGTCCTTGAGCGCCCTAGTCTTAGGCTGCTGTGCGCCTTTCGATCGCTGCGCAAGTCTCCGAAACCTGCTGACCTAAGATGGTAACAGGATTGTTTTTGAAAGGCTAAGATGCAATATGAATGCTCTGCAAGACGAAAGCGACTCATGCACATAATGTATAGACTGCTGCCAAGAAGCTGGCCTTTGAAGCGCCAAGCCCATTTTAAGGGCCCAAGTCTGCACACAGTCCATGCTGCTAACCATGCCCTTGGGCAGCAGCTTGTGCTTTTCGTAGTACTGGATGATGACGATCTTGAGCAGGTGGGAGCTGAACCTTCCACGGCCACGCGTGGCCCTCATGATGCCCTCCACTGCCTCCAGCGGCCATGAAGACAGAATTAAGATGAAAGAATGCAAAGAAACATGAAGGCATGCAGGTGCGCAGAATCTTCCTGCCTCTATGTTGGTCTCCACGTCTTTCAAACTTGGTCTGACAGATGTGAAGAGCTTGCTGGAAGCGTCAACCAAGAAGCTAAAACCATTTTGTCGTAGAGATGGAAACTTGTCCAGCTCTTGTATGTACTCTGGCACACATAGCGTACATGGCGGCGATGGCATTTCTAAAAAGAGTATATCAGCGATATCAGGGTCCAATTAGTCTGGAAACCTTGGGGAATTCAGAGCAAAATCCATACGATGTTTCCTTGGGGATTTAAACATGGCTGCATATACGTGCATATACATATACCTAATGAATGATATGTAGATCATATATATATATATGTATGTATCTATGTCTAGGACATATACCATAAATAAGGTTATATATATATATGATTATGTATTGCGATATAGATAGAAAATATAGGCGATATATGATACCTTGTGCCTTGTGCCCGGTGCCTGTACTGTATACCGACCCAAGGCTGCGGACAATGCATCTTGCACTTGCAACCGTGGCGCTAGATTCAAGGCAGGTCACTGCAAGCAAGGGCAGGGGGTGGCACCTGATTGCCTGATCTGCCATAGCCTCATGCCTCAGATAAAACCAATCAACGACATCGCAAACTAAAGGGACCCAAGAAATGCACATATTGTACGTCTGGTTCGAATGCATGAGGGCCGGGCCAGTTTCACACGAAGATATCTCCAGACATAGGTTTATACCTTGCAGTTTCCAGGCATATATATATATTCATATGTATATATTTATGAAAGCCAAGCTCCAAGTGGAAACTTCAAGTGAATTTTCCATGCCACATTGGACAAATAAATTGTGGCGATGGTGAGTAATTACCTTTATATACATATATATATATATATATTCATGGGACTTTAGAATATTGCTTAAGCCATATATCCAAGCCGGCCTCAACCAGCGACGATGGTCAGATCGATGTCGAAGTTCACAATTAAATTGAGCACGAGCACCTGCAAACAGAATCCCGACATTGAAGAATTGAAGAGTCTGAGAAAAGAAATTGATAAACTCTATCTAAATGCAAAAACCCACATTCCAAGATCAGCAATCATAATGCATGCACTGGCACCTTTTTTCTCTTTGAAAGAGTTTCAAGATTGATTTTGGAATTGAACAAAACTAGGGACCTGGGCCGCTGGCTGATTTCCATCATATGCGTTGGTTGGTTCAAACATTCTGTTCAACAAATAATACAATAGATTCTTGGTTGAAAGCATGTGTGAAGATACCTAAAAGCATTCTCAATCAGCCATGCCATGATCGCTGGTTTCAGGCTGTTCTGTAACTTCCCGGGCATGGACACAAGCTTCATTCTCTGTCTTCAACTTAGCGATCAAGTCCTTGATGTGTTCCTGTCGTTCCAGGAGCTGCAAGATGTCATTCTCCAGTCGGAGGCTGTGCGCTTCCTCAGTTGGGCCCAAAAGACGGGATACTATATGTATCTGAATAGTTTTTGAGGTCCAATTGAAGCCCATGCATGCAGGGACAGTGCATATACTACATTGAGTCAAGTGATTGAATGCTTCAAAGTTGAAATGGTGTCCATGAAGTAATTGAAAAAAGGTTCCATCATGGCCATTGCCAGTCGCACCATGCTGTATCGCTGCTTGTTGATGATGCCCCTCTTGTAGGATTCCTGACCTCAAAATCCATGGGAGGCAATGCTCGAATGAAACTATATTGGCAAACAACTAGTCTATATATATATATATGCATCACGCTTGTCAAATTCAAAATTAAGCCCAGGCACACTTCTCTGCATAGACGGTTCTCAGCACATAGTCCGGGTGGGTACCTAAGGGTCAAAATATCAAAGCAGAGGGGACTGAGATCTCTTGATGCAGTATGCAACTAAGGGTCAATGAATTAAGTCCTGATTTGGATTGAATATTTATCATATATATATATATATCAACTCATTAAAAAAAAGCTATATACAACTATAAGCAATGCTTTAAAAACACGCAGAAAGCACAGATATATCACCGAACTGCATCTGTACATATGTTTTTCTACAAACAAATGCTTCCCAGGGACCATTCGAGATTTGAAGCCGCTCTGCATCCGTCATGGACCCAGCTGGGGATTGATCGGCATCTCAGATGTGCATCAAGGGAATTAATATTTCCGTGCGTACGGCAAACAAATAAATAAATATGTATATATATTATATTTAGATCTATTTTCAGTAAAAACATGCACTCATAGACATATATGTGTGTGCGTGTGTGTGTGTGTCAAATGCAATTTTTAGATGACACACTGGCTCCATATTGAGCCAAGCCTCCATCAGCAAGCGCATTGCCAAGTTCGTCTTCCCCTGGGAGAGGAAACCCATCCTCTTGCAGTGGCGGTCCCAGATCAAGTTCAGGAGTGCGACCATCCTTTCCTTCAGCATGTGGAGTGTGTGTAAATAAAACAAAATAAATAAATAAATATATATATATATATATTTGCATATATATACATATTTATGCATATATATAGATATATATGCATATATATATATACTGATTTACATATAAACATCTATATACCCCTATTTATCAATCTTTGTATGGGTTCTAATATTTCTACAGCTGAGAGTTTTTAACAAGGTTGCCTGAACATGTGATCAAAATTGTGAAGTAGTAGCCAAGCAACGGCCACCATGACAAGGCAAAGACTTGCCATGAAAGGTGAAGCGATAGGCTTCTGGAATCTGCACGTTGCCGATCTTCCGGGGCTCTCTGGGCGTCGCTATCATGATAGTCGATGGCACCACCTTGGATTAATGCCACAACCCCAAAAAAGATGTTCATTCTTGAGAAACCTTATGCAGCGAGGGATGACTGATCGATATTGATATATATATATACATACATATACATATACATATACATATATATTGATTTACATGTGCATCGATGTGAAAACCAACCAATATTCGACATGAATGCCTTAAATTGATTCAAGGTTCCGCGGGCACTCCCTGCCTCAAACCCTGCGGCAGCTTTGATATGGGCCCACTTGGTTTCGCCCTAGGTGGACAAGGATCTGGACGCATTGCAGAAGCAGCAGGCTCCACCACAATATGGGTATCCTGGGCAGGGACCGGCAGATAATATATTGAGACAAGGATGGAAACAGAAGATTTTGCAACATGACCAATAAGCAAAACAGGTATTCCTTCAGTGTTTCTTCATTTTTGGGACTGGCCAACCAGTAAACATTTATAATTTTCAAGCTATATACATATGCACATCTGAAGAACAAATTTCAAATCTGTCCATAGTAAATTGAAATTAGAAAGCTTCACACACATCACTGTCTACATGACTCTGGTAACAAAGAAATCATCTATATAGAATGACAGCCAAGTAACAGACGACCAAGAATCCTGAGGGCTTTCTTCCTCCACCTCCACCTCCTCATAAGCCCCTGATGCCATCGCGCGATCGAGGTGGCTGGCTATGGGCCATGCGCGGTGATGCGCTTAAGGCTGCGAGATGCAAAGTGTCCTAATGCAGTGTCCTAAAATCCCTTTATTTCTCCATGTATTAACCCAGAATTGAATTTTTACTGTCAAACAATGCTATATATATATATATATATTGGTTTCTTGGAAGGACTTGCATCAACGAAGTTGCACTGAAAAAATGCTCGATGCAATGGCCCATATAAGCAGCTGGCGCCTTCATAGGCAATCAATGGCGCACGAAGGCCATGGGCATCGACGCAGCAATGTCCGAAAAAAAAAACATATCTAAAATATTCCAACACTCACTTTGCACCTGCATTTTGCACTGACGTGTCACATCAAGGCATGCTCCGATATGATGGGATTCCAAGCTAGGAATGAAATGATTTGTGGTCATATAGGGATATTGGAGCATACCTATAGATAGTTAACTCGCTACCTGGAGAATGCTGAACGTGAAAAAAGGCAAGGCGCAGCAAGTGGATCGAATGGACCTTGGAGAGCCTTAAATTGGGATGGAACCTTAAATTTTTTAAGGGATATGAATGTAAGAAAATCACCAAAATATTTGCAAATACCACGATAATTGCCTTATGTAAGGCAGATTAAGGCAGTTTGATCCCAATGCTTCCCTTCTTATTTTAGTGTTACCTATATATAGTAAGCCCCAATAAATAAATAAATATATATATATATTATTGCCCCCATGTGTTGAATCAAGAAATACAACTGAGCAATAAATAAAATTCTGGGGTAAAACTAATTGATATACCACATGATATTGGCAAGGAACGAATTTTTCTGGGTTAGACCTAAATTATATAAACCTTGCAAAAGCCAAACTAGCTCTATATGTTATAAACTTCCGTTCGAAAGCATATAGCCTTTCTATGTGCTGATTATTTCCTCATCTGCTCTGGCAAAGCCAGGCAAGAAAGGCTTAATTCTTGTATTTCTAGCTTTTCACGATTTTTCACGCTCATTTGGGCCCACAACCTTTTCAGGTACAAATGGCCAAACAACCCATGTACAACATCATCTGGTCGAAACGATTGTCTAGGCTTGGACTTTCGAGGCTGAAGACTGACCCCAGCATTTGGATTTTGAAGACGAAAGATGAGCAAGGAAGAGTTACAGTTCACGGGGCAGTTGGAGCTCACGTTGACGATTTCCTGCTCATTGGAGGTCAGCACGATCCACTTTGGCAGACCTTCCTCCAGAACTTCCACGAGAGCCTGAGATGGTCACCATGGGAGGTTGGACCCTTCACTCATTGTGGAGTCCTACTTGAACAAGATGCCCATGGACATTGGCATCTCACCCAAGAGGAGTTCTGCAAAGGATTGAGTCAAGTTGAAGAAGATGGGAAAACAAAGGATCTGACGCCCAACGAGCAGCATCAATGCAGAGCCGTGCTCGGGGCAGCCCAATGGAGATGCTACCAGACAGCACCGCAGCACTGTGCAAAGCTGTCACATTTGCAGAGCATGATCGCGAGAGGAGACAGAACTACTCTAAAGGACATCAACAAATTCGTCAGGGAGATTTACCACCAGGCGAACACCAAGATCTCTGTCTTCAACTTGCACGCTTCTGAGGATGACGAGATTGTCCTCCTTGGCTGGTCAGACGCTGCTCTGGCAAATCGGGTGGATTTGACATCCACTGGTGGCTACATCATCGGCTTTGCCCACAAGAAGATGCTTGAGAAGGGCGAGGCCGGACCGATAAGTCTTGTGAGTTGGAGCACTCACAAGCTGAAGAGGATTTGCCGCTCCAGTCTTGGAGCTGAAGCTCAGGCACTGGCTGAGTGCGAAGCAGAGATGTTCCTGATCAGGGTGCTTTGGCAGGAGCTGTTGGGTAAGGAAGTGAACCTTCAAGCTCCTGAGCAGACCGCCAAACAGACCCCGGCGGCCGTCGTCATCGACGCAAAGGCCCTCTACGACATGCTGATGCAGAAGGACATCCCGCACCTTGGAGCCCGTGACAAACATACTGCTCTGGAAGTGCTTGGACTTTCACAGCACCTTGAGGAGCAGGAGACAACGGTCCGATGGTGCAACTCAGACCAACAGCTGAGCGACGGCATGACCAAAATTGGTGCCGCCGAGAAGATCCTCAAGTACCTCGAAGGAGGCCAGAGGTGGAGCATCGTCTACGACCAGACGTTCACTTCGGCGAAGCGTGTGAGAGCAGCCAAAACGGCTGAAGATTTTTCCTTGTACAGCGATCCCTCTTGGACGGATATCCTGTGGCAGACTGCGGGGCATGTGAGATTCTCAGGTAAAGGTATTCATTCCAGTCAGCCACAGCATGTCATTCCGAGATCTCATGCCACAGGTTCACATCCATTGTAACTCTGTGGCCCGAGGGATCCCTTTTGCCAAAGCAGGCACTTGTTACTTTGGCCTTCTGTAAGGCCTTGGAGGCGTTCACGCCTGAGCCATAGCGGAAAACCGCGCTGCGCCTTTGCACTTGGATTGGTTGTGGAAATCGAGAAGTGTAACAAGTTTCAAGTGCCGAAGCCAAGGGCTACCTCACAATACATGCATACATGCATACATGCATACATGCATACATGCATACATGCATACATGCATGCATGCATACATGCATACATACATACATACATACAAACGCACATACATTACATTACATTACATTGCATTGCATTGCATTGCATTGCATTACATTACATTACATTACATACAATATTGTGGGATCGATGAATTGAGCTCCAATTGATGGGCACAAACAACAATATACAATGTATAGATGTTCTTCCGATTGGTTTCTTCTTCGGAGAGGTCACCACTGGTGAAACCACTACGATTTCAGGTCTTTTTTGTATCCCAATGGCCAGTGAAAGATCCGGAGAATTGGTGATTCGGAGTGATTTCTGGGATCCCAACATGTACCAAATAATACAGGGATGATGTGACCAGCAACATCTTATTCCGAAATTGCTCCTTTTTCGTATCGCATGTGACATGGGATGACATGGGTCACCGTCAGGTCCAACGAATATCACATCAGTCAGATGAGAAAGCAACAAGAATTGGAGGCTTGGCGTGCCATTTTTCCAGATGATCTCAGCCGATCGATGACGATCGTGGGAATCTGTGGGATATCATCGATCTGCATCACGGGTCATCACTGGTATACACTGGTACAGTCGTCTGAATTGAATACCAAAGGAAGAAAAGACATCAGTCTCGTGGAAAAAGTGACAAATATTCACAACCACTGCCAAAACATGGGCAGCCAGAGGTGAAGGATGGTGAAGGTTTTTTTGTGTTTTGAAGGTGGGTCTCCACCTTGAAATGCCGATCTTTGGAACCCCGAATGCCTTGTTGGATGTTGGATGACCTTTGCCAACAGAAGAAGTCTAGTTCAGCACTACCATTAATGATCGACTGTGTCTTGCCAGTCTTTCAAATTCTTTAGCACCTGTATGTATTGTATGTGTTGGGAGGGAGGAGGGATGATATGGTGAGTTGTCCTGTAAGCAAACATGGGAGGGCAATCCCCGAAGGATCAAACAGAGAGGGTGACTTTCGTTGGAATCCATATGGCCTTGGCCATGGCCATGACATGGCGGCCATCTCTACTCAGTGCCCTGAAGGAATCAGCTGTTACCAGATTTTCTTTGAAGGAACATGTGCAGAAAACCGCATGTTTCATGGGAAAAACATGAATGGTTTCCTCTGAATTGTCCCACACAAGGACTATAAATTATCCAAAATCAGTTCAGATGTCCCCGCAAGGTGAAGATCAGCGAGCGCTGTGGTTTCATGATGCAAGAGGTGGGAATGGGAATTTCCCCACAACTAAATGGAGGTCTTAGTAACATTTTTGTGCGAACATCATGGACAAAAAATAGAGCAAGCTTACCACGGTGAGCAGTCGATACCATCAGATGTGAGGTATATAGTTAGAGAAACTGTAGATGGTTTCAAAACGGCATCCTGACTCGGACTCCTGCGATTTTTTTTGTCAGACATGTGTTTGTCCGAAAACGAGGTTTAACCCCACGGGTAGCAATTTTCATAGGAAAAGGATGCTTAATCAGTGGATTTGGGGGACTCATTCTACCCTGTGGTGTGTGGCCAACGCAGGTTTTGGAGTCGATGATTCCTCATGTGGTTGGGGACCAAGTTGGGAAGGTTGGCGACGGAAGACTTATGCGAAAGATCGCGAAAGTATTTTTGGTGTGAGTGAATGGCAAAAGGGAATTTGATTGTCAAGATCTTGGCTGCCAGACTCGCAAATGATTGAAATCCTAAGATTTCAATAGATGGGCATAACTTCTAACCGTTCTAACGTTGGTGACTCTAAGGAGGCTTCAGCGTTGGGCATAGCAGGTTTCACCCACACTGGTACACCCCTTAACTCAGCGGTGGTACCAGGTGGAGCGCCTCTTGGAACGACTCGCGCAGTGCCTGGACTTCAGCGAATTGAGAGATCAGCCGGGGACCCAGGCACTGCGAAGGCTGTGGGAACGCGAGGCTTTTGGTGGGACCATGTGGTACCTGACCTGATGGTAGATGGAAGAAACATACCACCCAACCGGTGTTGGACCCCCAGGAAAATTCCCATCCGACATGGCAAAAATTTGTAGGGGATATCATTCCTATGATGATAAAGGTGGGCTGATGGTTAGTAAACCATCCTGAATAGAAATCAACCATAAGGGGGGGACAAAGTAGATGTGATTAGACCTAATCTTATGAACCACAAATTTTGGGGATACTGACTATGCTTGTAGACCCCCCATGTAGTAGTTTTCTCTGGGTTAGTTTGGAAACTTGTGGGGAAAGCCACCAAATTCCAACTGTTGATAAGTTAATAAGATACATTTCTACACATTTCTCCATTTTCCCAACAGTTTTTTTGGGATAAACCAGTTTCCTGACGAAGTTCCGGCCACATGGTGGTAGATTTGATACGGAGGGAGTGCCCCTTGAGTCCTTTTTTTTCTCTGGCTTTTACTAGTTCTTTCGATGAAGCAAAGCTGATTCAACATGACGATGTAGGTTTCTGGAGGGCTATGTAGGGGCAGACTTCGTTTTCATTCAGATGCAAGATGATGGAAGACGCATCGTTGCGTGCAGAATCATGGCTGAACTAAGCCTAGATTCCTAGATCTGATTGATTATCCACATTTACAACTGATTGAAAATCCCATAGAAACAGCCATAGAAACAGCCATAGAAACAGCCGTTTCAATTAACAATTCTTGATCACTCCAGTTTGGGCTTTTATTTGCCAACCCCAGATTCACCATCAGTTGACACAGGTTGATCGATTCCTTCAGTGCGTCAACTGACATGCTCCCAGTCGTTGAGGAGCGATCTGAGGTGCTCCAATTTCCCGGGGGAATCCACCTGACCCGTTTTTTGGTTCGGCTGGGTAAAGGTACCCTTTGAAAAACTAACATAGCTATGGAACATCACCATGCTATTAATGGGTAAATCCACTATCAATGGGCCATTTTCCATAGCTTTTTGTATGTTTACCAGAGGGTACACTTTGAAAAACACAACGTCCACTTCACTAAAATCTTTGTGTCACACAGACTCTCCAAGAAGATCACTCAGAAGCAAGTCCCAAGTAGTCCAATTATGTCCAATTCATCTCAGCCAGCGGCCGTTCCCAGGTGGTTCTTGCTCTTCTTCAAGAGGACCGTGTTGCCTGCTGCTTAGCGAATGTGGGTTTTTCAGAGTCAACAAAAACTACACCTGCCATAGAAAGCCATAGTAACCCACAGTAACCCCCATAAAAAGATAGAACCAGAGCAGATAGTAAACCCATAGTAAACCCATAGTAAACCCATAGTAACCCATAGTGACCCATAGTGACCCATAGTAACCCATAGTAACCCATAGTAACCCATAGTGACCCATAGAAATCCTTCACCAATCTGTTTCAGTGGAGCCGGAGTCCCGGAGGTGAAAAATCGCATGTCCACGGATTTCACCCGAATCGTCGGAAGCTGAGAAGCCGTGTGGATCCGCCACGGATCAGCCACGGTTGAACCGTTGTCAAAACTGGTTATCTATAAAAGGCTTACGGTTGAGAATGGTTATGATATGTCAAGATCAATCAAGATCATGTATTTCATTACAACTCGATGTTTGACTCATTGTTGTTAATGAACTAGGAGTTCATTGATAACACCCTAGGCCTGTCTTTCGCACGCCTGTATGTGTCATGCCGGAGTCCTTGTCAAGCACGAGCCGCGATGGAAACCTGAGGCTTCTTCAATTGACACCTTGGTGCAGAGCCTAACAGTTGCTTTCAGATCAAGTTTGTTGGCAGCTTTTCTGCAGAGCTGGGCCTTGAGATCTGGAACCTGCTTGTTGCAAGCAAATCCTTGGAAGGAGCAGTCTAAGGGCTTCATTTTTGGCACCGTGCCGTGCCAAAATGGTTTTCTTTGAGGTTGCACATTCCAGTTGGCAAGTCCCCTTGATGGAAAGGCTCTCTGGGTATCTCAGCTGACGCAGATTTCTTGCTTCAAAAGTCTTGTTTAAGGCACTGGCAAGATCTTGCGCAGTTAGGATTACTAATGGGTATTTAATAGGTGTAGCTGTATAACCTTCATAAGTTTGGAAATAGCCGATAACTATAGTTGTATAACCCACCTACTAGTGGATTTACACCCAAGTTTTACAGTGAGAAACACGTGGAGCTATGCAAGCTGCACCAATGGGGGAGGAACATCCCTAACTACCAGCTGGGTTTGTCTGAAAAAGATAAGTGTACCCCATCCTATTCATTATGGAAAATCATCATTTCTTTATATGATATATAATAATATATAATATGTTTTACTATATGTTTTACTAGTGTTTGAAAAAAATGATTCCTCCATTTGGAGGGCTGCTATACGGTAGACATTGGATTTCCAGATTCTGATGGCTTTTTTTTTACATTATTGCTAAATGGATTCTGATGGCTAGTAAAATGGGTCGTAAATATCATGAAATACCACGGTTTTCGGATCTGGCATAATGTATAGTACTGTATAATGATGTATAATGTTGTTTAGAAAATTGTATCCCCTTCACCACAGACATGAATCCCCCAACGCGCCAGCAGATTTTGGCAGGCTAGAAGCCATGCAACGTGCAGTGGAGTCCATGAGTATAGTTGTGCAAAGGTGCGAGTTTTCCAGCGAAAGCTGAGACTTTTTTTGGGAACATCTGCACTGGATGGTATCCGAGACTTGCATAATACGTTTACCAAACTTGTTTGAAAACATCAAGGTCCTCCAACATCAGAAAACTTGGCGCATTTTCAGTAGCCCCTTGTTTCTTGGGGCTCCTGTCGGGGCGGTGTCTCGCTTGTGACTGTTGATTCCGCTCACTTGTAACTGTCTTGATTCATCATAGTCAAAATCATTGTGACCATCATCATCATTCTCCTCATTATGTTCACGATCATTTTCCTGATGACCAGTATCATCATCACCATGATTTTCAACAGTATACAGTATACACATCATTGCCACAATCATCATCATCATCAACATCATCATCAGCAGCATCATCATAAATGCATATAAATGCCACCATGCATCAGAACTTTTATTGTTGTCATCCTCATCGTCACCTGCATCACCATTGTCACAACTGTCATTGTTAACTGCAACTTCTTCTTCTTCTTCTTTTTCTTCTTTTTCTTCTCCTTCTTCTTCTTTTTAATTTTTATTCTTCTCGTTCAACATCTTTTTGATTTCTACTTTTCTTAATCAGCATCATTATCATTATCTCTGCCACTGTCAACTTGTATGTGTTTTAATTATCATCATGATCATCCTATTCCTTGGCCATTGGCTTGTGAGAGCTGGGGCTTGATTTCCTTTTCACCTTTTGCGTTGCCATTCTTTGTGCTTAGTGCACGCTGTGGCCTTTTTGGTGCTTTTTGGTGCAGTTGCTGGTCCACAGGATATTTTCCGGGCTTGGCCCCTGACTTTTGGCACAGTGCCGTCATTTGTCGCCTTGCCTCCTGCTGGACGCTATGTATCTACACTCTTCTGTTTTGCTTTCTTTGGCATATTGCTCCTTTTCTTTCCTCCCCCAAGGGGTCAGGGAACTGAGCAACTTGTGCTCCACACTTCCTCTTCTCATGTCGAGCCAGATTCATAGTTTTCTGGCTCGTGCGGATTGACTCGCATGATTCATTTTCCTTACCAGGGGAACTTCCTTCATGATCATCACTTTCCTGAGCATTATCAGTATCATTTAGGATTTGAAGAGAATACGAAGTGAAGAGAGTTGGACGTAAAGAAAGTGGAGAAAGGGAAAAGAGTAGAGAAGTGAAGGGAGTAGGGAAGTGAAGAGAATAGGGAAGTGAAGAGAATATGACGTCAGTGCCAAGTGAAATGAAGTCAGTGGAAGCTACCATCCCGTGTGAAGTCCCAGTGTACGTTATTGCCCCACCCACCCCATCCCCCAGTGGAAGCTGCCTGTCGTTTTCAGTAGCCCCTGGTTTCTTGGGGCTCCTGAAGAAACTCAGAAACTCCCTGGAAAAAAATTACAACTGGGGCAAGAGGTCAAAGCTTGTTCGGGTGGTCCAAGATTCTGCTGACAGAACCAGCAGTATGGGGAGGAAATGGTTTTGGGGGATACAAGGAGAATCAATCAAGTGAGTCAGCATGAAGATAACCCCAGGCAGAAATCGAAAGCACCAGACCTCCATTCTCACTCACATGGTAGTCATGTAAAGAACACCTCTAGAGTAGCAGTCGCTGACGCACACCAGTCCACAGACAGGAAACATGAAAGCAATAGCTTGATGATCGATGCAACAAATGCTGAACTAGCAATCAGCTTATACAATGATTTATTACATACTCTCAAATATACAATACAAATAAAAAATATATGATATATGTATATAATTATAAATATTTTATCAAAAATAACTAGTTGGCAATCTGCAGTCAGTGAAGCAGTGGACATTTGTACGACTTCAGTGGACATCAAAACAACTCGTGTCGTGGAGTCACTGGTGGTTGGCACATTCCGTCCAGGTCAACATCACTGAATGGCACGGTGGAGCTGACAGACGTTGGCTGAATGGATGGGAGAGCGTGGCATAGCGTGGCCGTTCTGGCCATTGAACAAATGGGGGAAAGTTACGGTGGATTTCTTTAGTCAACCATGGAATTTTGGGGGTAGTTTTTTTTTTCTCCATCACATATGGGATGTTATTTTTTTGGTATCCTCCGATGACAATGATGATGATGATGATGATGATGATGATGATGACGATGACGATGACGATGACGATGATGATGATGATGATGAACAACGAAACCATTGAACCATTTCAGCCTTGAATGATGAATATGAACACGTCTCTTTGGCAGGAGATGTCAGCCTTGTCGCTTAATGCAGCCAAGTGTAGAGGATATGCTGATGAACACCTTCAACCGCAAAACCCCACTGAGGTAAATTGAGCGCGTGCTTTCTACTTTTGCGAAGTGAAACGTAGGACAATGTAGGACAGACAAGTCAACGTAACTGAGCTCATCTCGATGCAGTCGTTTTTGGTTTACTCAGTAATATTTCATTCTTCTCCAAATATGGCAGATTGGTGGCCACCAAATGCTCCAATAATGATCCCTTCCCCCCGCGGAGAAACAATCCAGGCGGATGCAACTTTGAACGGCAGCTGTGGGAGCACCATGCCGCGTCCGGATGACCAAGATTGACAAAAGCACACTGGACTTGATTTTACATGATTTCATAATAAGATTTCATAGGGTTTCGTAGTTTTCATATGATTTCACATGTTTGCAGATTTTTCAGGAGATCAAAAAGAGATCAGAATTCAGTAGATGAATCATCCAGCTGAGTTTCAGCTGTTGCCAAGGCCCCGAGGACATGATGAGAAAAAATCCATTGTGGGAGCCGCCAGTGGAAACTGGGGTGGTTTTCTCATCGGGTTACTGGCGGACAAGCAGTGGAAATAGATATCAGTGATGCCGACCTTTGTTTTCATTCTACGTTGTGAAACAGTTTACGCAAGTGAGAGGGACCAAGGAATGCGATTGAAGGCTACCAGTGTTACATATTTCCTCCGCTAATCTCTTGCAGACACGTAGAAATTTGTGAAGCAACCTTTAATGTCTTTATCTATCAGTGTTCCTTGTACTTAAAAGATGCTCGGCGGAATCTCATTGCAGCTTTTGCTACAGCACTTGCGACCTGGATGGGAAGCAAGCTAAGGGGTCAAGGAAGAGACAAACAGCGCACGTCAAGTGGAGAGGCAGCAAGGGTGGTGTCTTCATATGCCCTCCAGTGTTTCAGGACCATGTAGGGCTTGCTTGGAAAAAGGTTTCTCATCAACAGGATGAAGCAGGTCATGTGGTGCGACTGGGTTACATCCCCTGTCAGATGCGGGATATCTTGGGTATTTAATCTTTTCGCACACCATCTATGAACGATAGTTGGTAAATATTTAGTGGTAATAAACTTCCACCGTAAGAAGATCCTTGGAGCATACCCTTTTTTTCCAGAAAACATCAGAAAACTTTGTTGGGTTCCACACAGTTGTTTTCCCGCATAGCTGTTGGTTGTTCAGAGAATCTCCTTGGTTTCAATTCCAGCAATTCATGTGGTAGACCAACATGTTTTTTGTCATTTGAGGGTTCGTAAACTTTAATTTGGGTTTTGCATAGTTTTAAATCTTGGGTGTAAGTCCATATAAATGGCAATAAACATCAGTCATAAAACATTCTTTTAGCGTGTTTATCATCAGCCATTATTGCGCAAACTACGTGTATTAGAAACCGTTTTTGTACCTCTTGGTCCAAATTGTCATCTATACTCCAGTAAAACAGGTCTCTATCTCCCTTATTTACTGGATTTATGTTTCAATATGCTTGATTTCCATACTTTCATCTATTTCTAAATTTGTTTCATTTATTTCCCAGATTTTCCTCATTTTCCACCTTGATCTCCGGCAATCAAACACATTAATTAGAAATGCCCCGGCAACAGTTCGATGATTGTCGCTAGAAGCTTCCATTGATAGAGGGCTTTCCGGCCAGCCACGTTTGATTGCCGGAGGGTAAAAGCTTAAGTTCCTGGTGCTAAACGTAGGGAATTGGCTGGAATGATCCAGTCCAGAACTATCACCATCTATCACCTCCCTGAAATTTCCATACAGAAATATCATGGGTAATCAGATGGGCGAATGATCCAATCCATATATTTTCCTGGCGCAAAAAAATCAAAAAAGACGACAACTCTGACGGCCAGGGCCTGCAGGGTCTTCAGGCAGCTCTACAACGCGCGGAACAGCAACGGAGTCGACCTCCCTCGGTGCCGCGGCTGTGAACTAGCGTTGTTGATTGGTCATTCGAGTCATAGCGAGTGTTACTATTTGGGCATACTTGGGCTATTGGGGATTATGATGATTATGAAATATTATGAACTAAGCCATAGGCTACAGGAACCAACTAGATCCAACTAGTATTTCATTGAGATGGGGCTAGCGGTATTTCTAATGGCTCATGTGGGGGTGAAAATGGTCTTACTATGTCTCATTGGTCATCTATAAATGGCGTTTTGAGGCAAATGCATCTATAAATGGGGGACAACAAAAGGGCATGGGATAGAAGTTGGGCAATGTTGCCCCAGGATTTTGCTAAGCCATCAGTGTATCAATAAGGTCCCAATTTTAGGAGGAATTGATTGCCTTTTTTTGGAGGGGTAACCCGTCGTTTTTCATCAACTGGGGGTTTATTCTTTCTTGGCAGCAAATTGTGGCCGTCAAATCATTTTTTTGTGGTTTTCACGCAGATTTTTTCGACAAAGTCATGTGGATCAAAATGAGGATGTTGGTGCGGGGTGAATACCTCTGTTCCCAATTAATTTGGAGGGAAGAAGAACCGCAACTAGCCAATGGTGGGCTTTGCTGAGGGTACCAGGCTTTTGACATGGTCTGACCCATAGCTGCCATAGCAACTAAGAAAAGTTAAGCAGCAATGCATGGGGTTTTAATCAACAAAGAGAGTATAACAGTATAACGAACAAACAGGGATAGTTTGACAAGCGAGAAGATTGTGGCAAGGACTGTTGGCGCTCAACCATCAAAGATGCAGAAAGCAACCAGCTTTATGAATGCAGGGTTGAAATTGAGGGGTTATGATCCATGATGGAAATTATGGGAATGCATTTATTTTGATGATTTATCAACTCCCGGGGATGGTAAAACGGGGGTACTGATGGATCCATGCGTTTTGTGGTCAAAAATCATCATTGGGTATAGGCTGATAGGTCAAGTTTTATGGTCAATTTAGGTGAACGATATTTATTTCCAGATTTAAATGATTCACATATAACTATCATAACTGGATGACTGGATGATGGGAATTTTCTGATTTCACGTGGATATCAATTCCCATTCCAGATGTATCCTCAACTGGGATATAAGTCCCCTAAAAGGATTTTCCAGTTGAGGATTTTCCCTTTGATCATCCCTCCTGCTCCGCAGGGGCATTCTGACAGAGCACCACCACCTGCTCCCATGCGACCAACGTCCGGGGGCACAAGTTGGTGGCCAGACAATTCGGTGCTTGGAGGTACCAACTAAGATACCCTCTGGTTATGTCAAAATAACTATGGAAAATCACCATTTATAGTGGATTTTCATGGATTTTCCCATGAAAAATTGTGATTTTCCATAGTTATGTGAACGTTTACCAACTAAGATCTGGGATAGACAGAGTCCGGTGATCGATCTGACCTCGGTGCTTGAAAAGCGCAGGCCCGTGAGGCCATGGCGCGCAGGGAACAGCATGTGGATCAACAAAAATGCTGGGGGGTGACCCCTTAAGCACCATAAAATGGTATACTATGGGAAAACCCAGCACAGAGCACTTCAATTTTTGTGATTAGGTATTGAATGCTTTTTTGCCTCCAGCAGCATATGTACTATGTGTGAAGCCAGCAGGAACATGTGGAAACCGTGCATCAGGAGATATCGCGAGAATTACAAAAGAATCCACAAATAATATATATCAATATCTGTTTGCATTCTTATTCGCATCCATGTGCACATGCACATATATATATATATGTATATAGATCGAGATATACATGCACCGGTGATGAGTACAGATGAGTACCACGTGGCATCAATATTTAGTCCAACTTGCTTGTCGATTTTTTGGCATTCTGAGAAGGGCCACAGCCCCCTTCACTTTATACTTCCCATATTTTTTTATGGGATCTTAAGTTGACGGCGACGATCACATACCACGATGTCTATGCCAAAAGAGGGAGTTACCCCCCAAAATATAACCACCAGAGGATTCAATCCCCCTTCTTTTGCTTTTGAAATCACAGGCAAGCCTCGCGGGGGTCTGATGCCTGCATGTCTACCATGTTGTTGCTAAAATTTGGCGAAATGTGTTCAGGGGTCCCATCCTTCATTTTACAGCTGCTTTGAATTTTGGAAATGGGACCAGCCATTTTATAGAGATTTTAGCGGATAGCACCTAATAAGTGATTTGGGGTCATGGCCCGTCAAAAATATAGTCTTGTGTTTTGGGTTGGTGCTAGTCATTTGATAGGCAGTGCCTAGTCATGTTGTAGTGCAAACCATTTTATAACTACAAGGACCGCCTCCTGTTTTTTTTTTGCATGGTCGTTTGTAAATAGTGCTATATTGTAGGATACTATGGATAACATCAAAATATCAGGTAACATTTGGGAAGTTCAGCCACTGAGGCGAACTGCGGTGAATGGCAGGGGCAATGATCCCTCTTGGTGCTCGATTGTGGTTGTGCATTGAAAGCTGGGCCAAGATGAAATTATATTAAATTCAACCAACAAAAACCATCTGAAGACTTCCAATTTCCGACATCCAGCCGTCCAGCTGTCTCCAACATCTCTGTTTTGGATGTTCAGAACCAACAAAAGTCGTCAAACCTCGAGGTACACCTCGATGTCTCGCCCAGCAGCGGAAACAGGCATCGGCTGGGGTCGGCCAAGTATGCTTCTGGGCGCAGGTAGATTTTGATACACATTGGTGCGTATAATATATTTATAACTTTATTGTTTGTATTAGGACATTGATATTTACATAGCACTATTGGTTATTTTATGGATAATTTTATATTCTAGATAATTATAGTCGTATACCATTATTGATATATATATATATAAACATACCATTGGGTTATACTATCGGATATATCTATAACATTGGGCGTCACACACACATATATTTACACATCATATTCTGGATGGGTATTAAATATAATATCATTGGGTTCTTTACATACCACTATATTATATTGTATTATATTTTATTTTAGTTTATTTAAATCATATTATATTATATTTAATTATATTATCGCTATGTATTATACATGATCACTATGTAAAATTAAATTATATACAATAGCTTTATTTTTATGGATAAAGCTATAATATATACATATATATATATATATTTGTATGCTTATTATATATTTAGGTTATAGCTGGATCTGTCGCATGTCCCAAGGAAAATCATGGAAAATCTATCGCCTAGGAACCACCAATGGTCGAGCTCCTCGAGCGTGGGGACGCTGAGTCATGTGTGTTTTGCGGCATGTTGGGGTATTGTGGTTGGAACTCTTGCTGAAGACTAATGTATCTATTATGTATATACATATGATTATCATTTTATAATATATGATTGCATACATTGTATATACAGATGACCTATATAGACATATGTGTATTAATACTATAGATTCCCGGCGTAACAAGTTGTGTGAGTTCTTCATGTTTTTTCAGTGTTGTGTTTCTATTTTCAATTTGTGTTTTTGAGAACATGTAGAATCAACTAAATTTGGAGGATTTTAGACATATTTATATCATATCTTTATTTTATTGGTTGAGCCCCCCAAACCAAATCCTTCCCGTCCTTCCTTAGGCCGAGTTCAACATCACCATCCAGTGACAGTCGGGGTGCCAATTTTTGGGTTTTTTTCAGACATGGGAGGATTTTGTTTGTTCCAAACCATGGTTTTTGATGATAGGGAAATGGATGACCATGTTTAATCGGAGGATTTTTTTTTATCCATAAATATCCAGAAAATCACAATAGGGAAATGGTCATTAGAAATAGTGAACATGGATGATTTTCACCATTGGAATTTGGGGTGCCCCAATAGTGAAAATATGTGAACATGGATGACCTGAGGATCCGTTGGACTTGGGGACCTCATTTTCAGCTGTGACAAGCTGAAAAGTGAAGTCATTTTCCCAAAAATCAGGTTTTGTGCAAAAGATGATGCATCTACAGCCCACATGAAAAGGCCCTTTTTCTGGCGAAGTTCCGAAGCTTGACTCCACTCGACCTGGTCACGCGGACGTCACGCGGACGTCACGAGGCCCTGTGAACAAACCGGCTCCAGCTCTCGCTCCGAGAGGATCCTTTGCAAGGGCGCCTTCACCTGGGAAGGATTGGCCGCCAGGGACTCGGTGGAAGTCCAGTGGAGATTGATGGAGATATTGGAGATATTGGATGATAGTAATCTGATAGTATATAGGATATTAAACCCATAGGATCCATGGTGCTGCTATATATGGTGTGCCATGGATCCCATCAATATACCCCCTTTATGTTAGCATTAATATACCAGCACCATGGATCCGTCATGGGATAGGATTAGCCGCGATTATGTGTTCAACTTGATCCTATGGCCCCAAGTCCTGAAGTTGAATTTTCTGTCCTGCAGTTAGAACATGTTTGCTGTTTCAGGCGATCCCAAGGTACCTCAGGTACCTCACATTTGACTACTCTTCGTATTGGGCCGTTAGCGTAGACGGCCAGAGTTGATATGCGTACATTCTTATGCCAGCACACATTGTTAAGTATGGTTAACCACCATTTTGCAATAGATTGGGTGGGAAAATCTACAAGAAACCATGGTTCTAAGATGGTTCTTAGGTTGTTTTTGCTCCTGGTTTCCTGCATATTTTCCGACGGCCAAGGTGGCAGCCAAAGCCTCCACTAGTAGATGAGGAGGACTTCTGGGGAAGCCTTGTCCCTGGGAATCTGCTAAGTTCATCAGTAATGTGGGTAAAACAATAATAAACCACCCCCTTGGGATTGGTTTATACCACCCATTATGGTGATTTGGCGGATGGTTTATTATTGTTTTACCCACGTTAATTCATGGTATGTGTGTCAAACCTGCAGGGAACCAGGAATGTGCCATGAAGTGCCGTGAGAAGTGAAGCGTGTCTTTTATTGTCTTTCCATGTATGATATACCCATAAACGAAATGTGCAATGTACATAGAGCAAGAAACAGTGCCTTCACAATTTTAATTTAAGGCTCAGGCATACCCAGAATCAAGACTAACTGATATGTTATCATGTCAATCCTCCGAAAAAGGTCCTTCACAACACTTTTGGGGTGCACTTGGGGTTATACAAGTGGATACATTTCACCATATAGTGGATAGATAAGTGGATATAAGTGGAAATATCCCAACTGATGGAGGTGAACTCACCCAAAATTGTATCCATTTATGATCATCATGGCTGTCCTTAACCCCACCATGTTAACCCCGCAGATGTTGCAGGTGCACCCGGAGCCAGCCACGGCCGTGCCTCCGCTTCCGACGCAGCCGCCCAGGCGGCAAAAATGGGGGTACTATATTATTATATGTACAGATATAACATGATATATCTGTTTAGTGGTTTCTTTTTTTCGGTTGTTCCATCCTGATTGTGTTCTTTTTGGTCAAGTCCCCACTGCTCAGATTCATGCAATCCATAGCCATCCAAAGAATCCAGATTCAGAATCTGCCCTCTGCCAGATCAAGACCTTCGGATTTCTTCTCTGCGCGTAAGAGCGAGGCTGGCAGCCTCAGTAGGGAAGGCTTGTCTTGTCACAGACCATCGTCCCTCGATGCCAGAAGTCCCAATTGAGGCGGACACAAGAGGTTGAGCTGCGCACTAAGCTGGATATAGTCATCCTGGGATAGATAGATAGACCTCTACTGTACGGCCTATGCTCGGAATGATGATTTATGAACCTTATGATCAACATTTAAGGAACCGTTGATCTAAACCAGGATGAGTATAATTGAACACATGCCGGCAAAAAGTCACAATGACATCATCTCAAATTCAGTTGGTCATCCAAGTTTGCATCCGCGTGGATGTGTTCCATGACAACGAGTTCAAGGATGCAATCTTGAAAGCTGAGAAAAATCACCTGGTTCTGCCATTTTCAAAATTTCGCTCTGGATCCATGTCTCGAATTGACACGATGAATTCAGAAACTGCCATAAGCTATAATCAAACTATCATTGACGCGTTCCTTGCATGCTGATAGAAGATGACGGAACAGTCCGAGAAAAATCATCCAGAGCTCTGTTTTTAGGTGAGAGTGACTCAGCGAACGAAAATTGATCTTGTCATATCTTGTCATCCTTGAACTCGGGTGATGTCTTGGAAAAGTTCTCTGCAAGACATTCGAATGTATTTCACCCCGGGTCCGGAAAAACTCTCTGGACGACGTGGAAAGGTAGGGCTACGCACACTCATTGATGAGTGACATGCCTGTGCCATCCTGTGCCCGTGGAAAACCGGACTTCGCGAAACCTCTAAGTGAAACCGATGAAGTTTCAGATCTTTAAAACCGGACTTGCAGTGACGCACCAAAGCCCAGCACGACTGAGGATTCATGGAGCTGTTTCATTTTGCTGCCAAAGGGTTGGAATATGTTGGAATGTTACCTTCCGAGTTCTGTAATTGTTGTTGCAACATGACATGCTTTGACGTGTTTTGACATGCTTTGACCCTTTGTAGCAGCCGTTGATTTTCCAAAAAAAAAGTCATGGCGGACACCACGTTTGGAACAGCTGTATAACAGCTTTTTCGAACATCCACTGGTCCCTCAGCACATCCAGAGCCACAAGTCCCAGTACGATTCGTCGCACCATGCGCTTGGTGCTTCGCAGTCTTCGCAGTCTTCGGACAGGTGCCACTGTCTGGAATTGATTGCATTGAACGTATTTTCATAGCTACATATATAGCTACAAACTAGGCCAAATCTCTGGTTTTGAGATTGTGTGTATCATGTCCACTGTAAAAAAATGGCAATGGCCCATTTTGGGGATTCAGCATCATCAAAAACCCATTGAAAACAATGGTAATTTTGGGGATTCAACATGAATTAAAAGCCACTTAAATCCCAATTGATATCGGTCCATTTTCATCGCAGCCGACAGGGCACCAGCATCCCACCCACTGGAGTCGGCCGAATTTTCGGCCGGTTGTTCAGCGCCGGAAACCCGGGGGAGGTTGATAGGGACCAAGAAATCCAAAAAGGTGTACTTTTTCATGGCCACCATCCATGGATGTGGCGAGATGATGTGTGGTATATTGAACTGTATAAATGGATGATAAATGTATGATATATGGATGATTTTGCAGGGCAATGTGGGTAAATATGCCGTTCAGAAGGAAGATTTTTTTTGTGCGGAATCCTTTGGTATTGGGCCCAGAGTCATCCATAGAAAGCTCGGTGGGTCAGAGCCCTTTCTTTTCTCAGGTCGTCTTCAGTACTTTTCCACAGAGGTTGGGCTGTTGCGTTGGGCGTTCGAACTTCTGCAGGGATGCGACCCTGAGTTAAAAGGATGAGAATCCGATGATAAGGATCAAAAGATATCATAAGATATCAAAAACCCCGGTAGGGACTTTCAATCCCAAATGGGCGTGGGTAGATTATACTTTAGTAAGCAATGAATTATTGAAGTAGCCAATTTTGAACCCCAAATATAAGTTGTACTCGTATCCCTGGAAAAGGGATGGATGATCCCACTTTCCGCGCTGAGTCCCACACGGGCTTCACATGCCCTGCCTGCGGAGCACCATCGTCAAGATTGGTCTGCAGGACGGGCGGCAATTCCTTGAGTCTTCAACCTCGAGCATAGCAAGCGAAAAGGCTAGAAGATGCTAGAAGAATAGTTGGAAACCTGGAAATTGTGGTGAACCTATTTTCAAGTTATCAACAGTCTGATTTTTTTTTTACATCTTGGAAACACAGTTCGGCATCTTTTTTGGGGACCGATGGGAGCCCATGGGACAGTTCTATCGCTGTGTCTCAGCAGATCATCGGCGCCAAAGGAGTTGTGGACGGCTTCACCAAAGCAGTTCCAGTGGCGTCAGTCATTTTGAGCTACTAGGCGCGAGTGACAACATCGACCAAAATAGACAACATGGTGGGGTTGATCACCATGATGACCACCTTGGGGATAGAACTTTATAAACTTTCTAAATGTTGACAGCTTGGATTTGCTTCTATGCGGAATGAAATCGCCATAAATCGCCTCAGTAGGAGCCTTGGCTCCGTATAGCCTCAGTCGATTCCAAGAGTCCTTGCAGGTGTTGACAGCAACTACGAGGTTCGGTGAAGGGACGAGAATTTCTTCAACACGCCTTGGGACGACCAGAGGATCCACTTAGGCCCCCCCTTCTGACCGTGTTTTGGAGGTCGATCCTCAAGCAGTTGACACTGCCTACAAGGTGCCTCAGCTATGAGGTTGTCCTGTCTGAAAATGGAGGATATCCCGAAATTATCCATAAAATTGCTGCGTCTTGAAGTCAGAAATAGATGATCAACTAATATGAACTATGTGACTTTTGGTGATACCTTATTTCAGGCAAACCCATAGTATATTTTCAGTGAATGTAGTTTTCAGTGTGGCTCACAGGACTTGCAACGCCTCCTTCATCCAGACAGACATGTCTCTCAACCAGAGGACGGACGCAAGTAGGGAATCTGGAGGTTTCGTAAAATGGAGATCGCCAAAATCATCCAAGTCATTGGAATGGGAAAGCCAATGGTTTGGGGTAGCCATATTTTAGAACCCCTCCATATAAAAACATCGCCTGCTCTCTTGACAGAATCAAGTGCAGATGTCTTCATATTCTCTCTCATATGCCATGTTTCATGAGAGATGCTGTAGACCCTTTAAAAGAGATCGTCATGGACACATGTACGCAACCCCATACACCGGTAGTCACCTCCCAAGTTGCAAGAAATTGCAAGAAGCATTTGAAGCACGTCAAGTGTTGTTTCCTAGGCCTTCCGGGCACATTTCATGGTGTTTCTCTCAGGAGCAGCGGGAGTTGGCCGATGCACATTCTGCGAAAGTCAACGAAGCTGCTTGGGACCCCAGAATGATCAGAATGCAGGGGCCGAAGCTATCCAGAGCTACTACCTGGTGATCTTGTGATGTTTGGAGTCAGTCCATGGATTTAGATGGATTCCATTTTCTTGTATGATTTGTATGGTCTTTTGCATAGTATTTTCCACATTGTTTTAACATATTTTTGACATATTTTGACAGATTTTAACCATGGTATTTGGATTCCATACTAACATGCTCAGCATTTGAAGCTGGGCGTCCCAGTTTTCTTCTCTGTTGGCGGGCCCCCTGAGGTTGCCGTGCTCAGGCGCGGCGCCGACCATTCCAAGTTCACGCCTTGCGTTGAGGTTGCTGACTGTATCGGTGAATCTCGGAAATACATGGAAAATATTGGAAAATCATGGACATACCGTAGTCTTTACATAATTTCATGGAAACATAGTCATCCATAGTCTTTACATGACTTTAAACCAGGGTTTTTACAATCTTTTTACCATCAAAAGTTTGAGAGATGTTCTCAAAAAGAAATGCCGCAACAATTTCCCAAGCACTTCTGGGACACTTGGCGTGATTTCCAAAGAGGTCGCCCCTGCGCCGAGCACACTACTGGATGGAGTTGGGGATCTGAGGGCTACTCATGGCCGATGTGCATCAGCTGTTTTGATGTTCAGAAGGAAAACCAGGGACCCAGTTGAAGAATTTGGATCTCTCCAACGCATTGCTTCCTATGTTTTTGCAAGTACCATAAACATCCATAAACTATGTTGAGTACATGACATTAAATCATGCGGCCAATGTAGACTCAGTTGGCGTGGTAACTCCACCGCTGTTGTTGCCTTTAGATGCTTTTAGGTTGAATGGGCAAAAGATCCTTCTGGAAGAGCAGAGAATTGAGGACGTGTTTGCTTTTTCTTTTCAAACTTGGTGTGGGGTTTGCTTGAAACTTGACAGTTCTGCTTGAAGCCGCTTCCAGACGACAAAAAACCGGAGACACAGGTGAACCTCGAACAGGTGCTGTTGCCTCCAAGAGAGGCTATATAATTCCAATTCTCATCAATTCTCCAATTTTGAGGTATCTGCCAGATATATATATATAAATATATAATATATATATATATATATATGAATATACATATATATATATATATCAATATATGTACATATATATATATATATATGGCACTTCAGATTTGGTTTCCATCTGTTTCCGGGCAGGACACTGAGACCATGATGGAAGTGATGGAAACCAGTGAAGAGTTGGATGCTGCGAAGACGCAGGACGAGGTGGATCGGATCCGCAAGCGCAATCGCAGCAAGGCGCGGTTGCGCCAGGGTATAGATGGCCCATAGAAATAGATGGTTCACCTATGAAAAATGGTGATTTTCCATGATTTTCCATGGCTATGTTAGTCATAACCAGATGGTACCAAGGATATATTTCACGATATAATATGTATATAACATTCATTGATAACATTCATATAATATATAATTATATATATATATGCCAAGCATATATAAATACCAGGGATATATAATGATATATACCATGATATACCAATGATACCTTTCGATTCCTGTGCTCATGCTGAGGGATTTCTGCTGGGAAGGTGAACAAAAGCGCAGCTTTTGGTTCAAAACTCATGCGAAGATCATCTCAAAGTGGCTCTCACGGAATGGGATTCCGGATCTTGTTTTGGAAGATGTTGGCCTTGAATATCGATATATATATATATAGAAAGTTATGTACTGTACATATATATATATATATATCGATATATATATATATAGAAAGTTATGTACTGTACATGTACTCCTACATGTACATACATAACTATATATATAATACAGAGTACGTACACATTTTTGCGATATACATTAATCATCATACATCATCTCATATCATCATTTTTTTCATCTATCATGATACAAAGACACTACATTATATAGATATGATATGATATGTGTTGAGACCGGGCCCTCCTGATTTCAATCATCCTGTGGTGTGATTTCTGTCGCCATGGGAGCAGTGGCTCGGTTTTTTGGAGATTTTCCCAGAAAATTTAGGACCCAGAGATGTTGGTAACCCGGAGAATTCGATGGTTGATACACTACCATGGACCAATGGATGTCATGGTAATATATGATTTGGTACTAAACTTAGATATTTTTTTAATGTTTTTTTCTTTATGAATGGAATTGGATGATTGCTACAACGTTTGATGTTTGATCATTTCCTAGACATGACCTAATTTGCCAGTGCGTTGGGTCTTGAATTCGATCATACTCAAAGAAGGAATGTCTCAGCGTAGCAAAGAACATCTCAGTGCCTTGCAAGGATAAAAGCATCTGGAAGTTTGAAAGTGAAGAGATGCTTTTCACAATGATGTATGTGTTCCCCAGCAAAGACATGGAACGGCGTGGAGCTAGATTATAAGAAATGCTCAATATCGCTGATCTGAATTTTCAGGATGAGAATTTTACCATGTACCTCATCGGCATGAAAACAACTCCAGTTGTTGCACAAAGTGTCAACTCCAGTTTTCAACCATCGAGGTCCTTTTCGGTTTTCGCCAGTGGTTCAACAGGTTCAACAAGCAATGCATCACCGGTTAGGCCAATGTGACCCCCAAAGTGACCAAAAAAGCCTTCTTCGAAGTGGCCATCGGAGGGAAACCCACTGGACGGTGACCTGGCGAAAGTGAAGTTTCGGGACCTGTCGGTTGGGTTTCAGAAACATATCCAAAGTATTCCAAAGTGGTAGTGGCAGGTCTAGTTGTTTCATGTTTTTTTTTTTTCCTGGACTCCTGGACATGATTGATATTGATTGTTCACAGTGATATGGAAGCTTGAACCTTAGTGACAGTCAACAAAAAAGTTCCCTTGACTTGACTACTGAACATCAAGTCACTGAAGTCACTGAAGGATTGAAAGTTCAAAAGTTCAAAGATGTGAAGAACTTAGTGACACTTGCCCGCTGGTAATCATCCACATGGCTGGGAAATACCCACACTGGTCATGGCGTTTTTTTTGGCTGGGAAAATCATGGACGGCACATGTCCAGAAAGCCATGTTTGATGACGGGCAACATGATGCATAATGATGAAAAAAGTGGATGATTATCGATGATCTATAATTTGATGATCTATCGCCATTATCCATAATAATTCTATAGTTATATATATACTGTGTATATATTATATATATACGTTCGATACGATTCTCATAAGTTTGGTGGATCAGTCACAGCAAGCTCAAAGCTGGAGACGCCAATCTGAGGATTGTTTTCGGCCTCTATGGAGTCCAGGCTGCGTTTTGATCACCCGGTTTTGATCACCGGACCACCAGAAAGGTGACTTGTTGCTGCGTATAAGGAGAGCATGTGCCAAAGACCGTTGCAAACTTCGAGGCGCTTTGCAAGTCTCTTGGCTATAAATATGAAAGGTACAGTACTGGCGGGTGGGTTTTTAGGGTTCCAGATTTATGGCACTTTGAATGTGGAAAGTGATGGAAAGTGCAGAAAGCGGATAATTCACATTTTTGGACAACTGGATTTTAGGGATACCCGTGGACTTCTCCTCCGCATTTTTGGAGAACCTTATGCTGTGAGGTGCGATAAGGGTCCACCCTACTGCTACAAAGGTTCGCCATTTCATCGTGCCTTGCCTACATTGAATCTTGAAATGGCTTGTAGATATGGATGTTTCCTAAAATGGGGGTACCCCAAAATGGTTCCGGTTCATAATGGAAAATCCTGTTAACATGCGGATGAGGTGGGAGTAATTACCCCGATTTTGGGAAACCTCCATATCTGTGGCAAAACTGACTGTCATTTGGTTCATCCCGAATTTTCAGAATCTCACCGAAACGCTCAGCTTAGATCAGCTTTGCAGTTTGAGAGACCTCACAACATCAATATACCATTCATGTATGGCAGATTTACTTACCCTCTGGTTATTTAGCGTAGCTATGGCAAATCCCATTTTTTAATCGGTAAGTCATCATAATTCATCTATAGATGGGCCATTTTCCATAGCGATGTTAAATAACCAGAGGGTACATTTATTTTCATTATATATATATACATCTCATTTGATCACCAAAACCATCCTGGACAATGCACCAAAGCCAAGATTTCATCCCATGTCCAAGGTATCATCCCTGGCTTTATGGTGCAGGGTGGAGACACCACCCATGGAAATGGCACTGGCGGGAAGTCAATCTACGGTGAGCGCTTCGCGGACGAGCAGAACCTTGGATCAGAGGTCATCCCGGTGATTTTCAGCCCAGGAAAACATCCCCATGGTAAAAAGTAGGGGATGACATATGGGTGACATCAACTGCGACCATAGAATTCATACAATGATGGTGTTCAATGATGTTCAATAATGTGTTATATATGAAGGGGGGATGGGATAAAACTCCTCCCAGTTATCAGAGAGATATGCCATATATGCCGATGATAATCTGATATACCTTCGTTTGAGAGGGATCTCTACTAGAACCGAACTATCGATTTTTTTCAGATATTTTCAGATACTATATATAATAGTTATACGTTATACGTACTATCTATGACGCTGTGTTGTGCCATGTTATGCCTCTATTTAGAAATACCCTGTCTCATAATGTATCGCTCTGCCAAACCGAGGTTTACCACTTTCTTGGTTTTTCGCGGTGGATTACTGAGGTTTGGTGTGCCTCACAGTCGAGGTGGATTACTCAGCATGGCGAATGCCTCCTGGCTGATTTTTTTTTCTCAACTCCCAGGGTCACCCACCAGGTCCCCAGCGTCGTCCCCAGGGTCCCCACAAAAACGATCTTCACGTCCCAGGCTGGCCCTGACACCAATGGCTCTCAGTTCTTCATCACCACAGCAGCGGCACATCACCTGGATGGTATGGAAACCCAGGCTGCGCTAAAAGAGAACATGACGGTCTCACCATGTATCACCCATATGATGGTAAATCATTGGTAAAGCTGATGCCATTAACTGGCAAAAATTGGATGGCCACTGGTTATACCAGCCATATCTGGTGAAATTGGGGATGGTTTGTTATTGGGTTTAGCACATGATCCTGTGTGATTTTAGGTGTTCTAAATTGTCTTCATGGAGCACAGCAAGGGCCATGTTGGCCATGTTCGGTGGGAAGGTCATATGGGGGACCCAATTTTCCAGGTGAAATGTCGGAGACTATATATATATGTATATCATATGGTGCGAGCTTCCATGTCTTAACAAAGAGAAGATATATAGGTGACTAGATATGACTAGATGAAGTTTTTATCAAATTTTCCAGACATGCTGACTTTCCATCTGTATTTTGGATGGTTAAGCCTGACTCATATTTTTTGAGGATGGGTTGAAGCCAATGAGACTCTATGTGCCAACTCCAGGCAAGCACGTTGTCTTTGGAGAAGTTCTGGAAGGCTGGGAAGGACAGACATGCGTCCAGGAGCTGTCGGAAATGGGGCAGAAATAGGTAGGCTGCATGGGTCGAAGCGAATGCAGAACAATCATGCACTACTGACGGTGGATAATTCATCCCTAGTTTCATTTTAATGGTCAATGATGGTTGTTCAACGCACAAAAATTCATAACATTTGAGACACATCTCGAAATTGGGTGGGTGAACATCAGGGTGAACATCATAAAACCATATAAAACACCATAAAAAATCACCAAAAACACATGTGTTGTCCTGTCTTTTCACCGAAAGATCTTGGGCTTGGGCGATTGGGCGGTGGGCAGGTGATCAAGTCGTGAAAGCTCTGGACTCTCATGGAACTCGCTCTGGGCGCCCCACTGCGGAAGCGAAGATTATGGACTGTGGTTGCGCAGCTGCAAGATGCGTTGCGGCTGTGAAAGAAAGCTTTCTTCGAGTGATTTATCACCAACTGATATTCTATCTGACACATATTCTGACATTTATAGTGGATTTACCCATTAATAGCATGGTGATTTTCCATAGTTAATGTTTACCAGAGGCTATCTGGCATTCTATCTGACATCTGACGCCCGCGCTGGAGATCCGGCAGTGTCCTTGCTGAGCTTTGGCGCTCGCAAAATCTAGAGGTCCTCACCTGGCAGGTGACATGGGGAAAAACCTTTGTGCAGGGGTTTATAAGGGTTGCCCTTATTCATCCTTATTCAATATGATTCCGAAAACGGTGTCGTTTTCGGTACCTTGACCCAATAGTCCACCTTGTTGTTTCCTCTACCAAACTTCACCGGAATGCAAGTTGAATCATTGAGAATGCATTTGTTCAGAAATATTGCAAGGTGTCTTGCCGGACATCGAGTAGAATGCCCCGCATCAAAAAAACGAGCGCCTTACATCAAAAAGTGCTGCCGCGCTTGTGTGATCCCTATCCAAGCATTCCATCCCCTGGAAGGAAAGTCTGATGTGCTGCCGCGCTTCCAGGATTGGCAATGTCAACCCAGGATATATGGAGCCCTGGTTTATGAACATGGAGGGTACCATTTCTAATCATTTCTACTAGGAATGGTCACTATTTTTGCGTCCTCCAGTAAAATAGTAAATGTGTTTTGTACAATCCAAGGGTGACACGATTTAACTATTGAACCCCAATCCTGATGGTGAGCCCAAGGTTTGATGCTTCAACCATCTTCAACCCGATTTTCATGCTCAAATCCCATAACCCACATGTTTTGTCCTGCAAGAAAACGACCAGCAATTAAGCGCCGCAGATTGAAAGTGTGGAGTCGGAGCTCTCGAGCATCTTCCAGCGGGAGGAGCGAGGTGGTACATGGGTAAACCACATGGAATTTTGAGAAACCTCAGGCAAATTTTGGTAAAGCACATGCTGTACCGGACCAACAGGGCACCCAGTTGTTTTTTTTTGGAGGGAAAGTCTCCGATCAGAGATGGGGCTGCCGGCCATGCGACCCGACCTGGGTTCAAGACATGGAGCCAATTCAAAGTGCAAGTTCTCGACATGGACACAAATCAGCCCACTTTGCTCTCAGAAACAAAGATAGTGAAGAGCCCCAAAGATGGAGTTGGTAAAACAAGATGTTGATAGAAGAGCACCTCTGATCTTGCTACAGGGTGCAAAGCAGACATTCTTTCTACTAATGCTGATGCTCCATTGATTCATGTTCAAGTTATAGTTGTTGCAATGATTGAGTGATGCACGCGCTGTGATACATTCAGTCCATTTCCAGCTCCGCTTTCAGCCCCTTGACAGCAACTGTTGTGGCAGTTGAAAGGCAGAACTGATACTTACACCAGTTGCTGTCCCAGTCCCGGCAGGTACCAGAATGTACACACTTGTTCAGTTCAAAGGACAGGTTCTGATGGTTTATGGTTTCACAAGTTCTCTCTATAGATGTTGATTCAATAGAGGGAAAAACAAATTAGGTTCAAGAATCGGTGTCATTTAACAGCATGTCGGATGCAAAGATCAGATGTTTAGAAAGAAGTCCACCATTTTTTCTGTCGGGGGTCAAACCCTGGTCATTAAAACGGATGCATTTTGGGTCGCATATCCACGTGACGGAACTATCCAAATCCTACGTATCACAGATGTTGGTTAGTTGGAGGGGTTAAACCGCACGTACTATATAATCACTTATTGCGTATATTTACTACTCATGTACTTTTATCATATCATGATGGTTCATCAGTTTTAAGAGTTATATTTATATAGCCCAATGCCCAGCTACCTGCCACTTGGTACCCAGCCAGATAAAAGCCGTTTGTGACTGACGACTTCCACTTGATGATCCCAGCCCCAGATCAACAAACGCAGAAATAAATGAACATTGTATGAACAAAAAATGGTATGGTTGCATTTCGGGTAACAATAATTGTTACTGCAGAGCCACCTACAGATCAACAAACAAATCATTTAGAAGTAGATTATGAAATTGTGGCCTGATCCCAATGATCATGGTATTTAAACAAACAAATACATGAAAGTGTATGGGCTAACGCCCTGGTGCCGACAACCTCATTGTTCTGTCGGATCAGGCCATGAAATTGGCCCGGCGACAAGCGCCCGAACGCCGCTGGGCGAAGTGTGTTGATGTCCACCGAATGGGATATGCCATGTTCAATGGGAACCCCAGGAGGGGAATATGTTCACGTTTTTTATGGTGACTAATGAGACAATGGAGTTTATATATATATAAGCAATGGTGTTTCAATAGAACTAAATCATCCTGAAGTAGATGGAATCGGAATATGGGATTTTCAAGCGCATTCCCATTTTGGTGAGGTTGAAACTTCCACATTCTAGTTTCCAAAAAGGGGATATCATGGGAATATAGTTGGATAGAACAACAAAATGGATGTGCACGACCAACATCTAACGGATATGTATGTGTATATTAATACATATATATATACACACTTTTGCATTATCAGTATATCAGTATATCCAAGAAAATTGAGGGATCGAATAATGGGATGATATGAATATGTATCTTTGAAAGTCAGCTGAATCATCAAAAACCCCCCATCTCGTGGCGATAGGATGAAGAAAATTAGCTGGGATGACAGCTGATGATTCCCCCAAAAACATGGGCCAATGGGGTTGGAATCTTTTGCAACTCAGATAGAAAAACCGACTGGAAACTGGGTTGAGCTGTTGGGATTTCATGGGATTTAATATTGGGATCTACTGGGGACTTCATGGAGATTTGTTGGAATTGTCTCATTCCATAGACCTGGTCCCCTGCAGGTCTGGACATGACTCCGCTCCAACTGCTGAACCAGCACAACATGAGCCTTGCTGAGTTGTCAGTTCAGGAAAGCAAACCTAACAATTTACGGGAGAGCATAAATCAATCGTAGAGATGAGCTAGAGGTTTCGTTGATCGTCAATCTTCGTGACCATTTGGGACAAACAAGGGTCAAGAAACCCAATCCATAGCTGTTGAAAATGGCCCAGTCGAAATAGTGGATTTACCCAGGATTAATAGCATGGTGGATCTTTCCATAGTTAACCAGTGATATCCAGTGATTTTCTCATGAAAAATGGTGATTTTCCATAGTTTACCATTTTGGGTACCCCATCCAATACCCAGCCCATACATGTTGAATGTGGTGAAGCCCGTGCCAACCATCCCAACCATCCCAACCATCCCCCAGGGATAGCTTGACGGAGTCCGACTCCGTCCGAGGCGTCAAGAAAAGGAGAAGAAGCTGGCTGCAAGCAGTGAAGCGTCCCAGATTTTTGCGCACCGTACCTGGTTAACGTGGTGAAGTTGTGCCAATTTCATCAATTTTTCTTGAATTGTGTGAATATATTTTTGAATATTTTTGATAATGATGTCCAATGATTCATTGTGATTAATGATTCAAACATATTCTAACATATTCTGATGAGCTGACTATTATTTGGATAATATCCTAATTGATCTCATATGATTGAGGTTATTGTTCAAGGGTTTTAATGGCAGAGCTGGAACTTGAAGACTGGAGCAGGTCGAGACCTGTCACACTTGGCGTTCATCGGTGCTCCGTATTGGCGTGGTTTCTCAGCTCCATGACTCGATGGAAACTCCGAAAATACCCCCCATTTAGTTCGAGCTGGAAATCTCCATGTTTCACTGATTTCACTGGGACTTCCCAGCTGGTCATGGAGCTGATGACCGGTAGAGGGTATAGAGTTCGTGTTGGTTTCTCTGATTTTGTGACAAGATTTTGGTGAATTGTGGATCTTCAGGTCCCACTTCACTCGTGGCGATCCTTATGGCGAATTTCAACGGGACCGATTGTGACAGTGCACAAGAGGCTGATGGTTATATACAAAACCTGAAACGGACGGGTTTGTGGCATGTGGAAGCTTTAAGCCTTGTGCTCAGCTTTTGCAGCCAAGGACAATTCCATTTTTGTGTTTCGAACGAAGCAAACTCTGCAAGTGGTGCCAGGACAAGAATCTCCTGAAGAGATCGTTCTGTTCTCAGGGACCAAACGTTGGGAAATTGATGGAAATGGTCTATCCCATAGGATCCATGTATGCTATATATGGTAACATTTACCATCAATATATCCCCAATGTTAGAATATATACCATACATGGATCCTATGGGTATGTCTTTGTACACTTGGGCCACGTGGATCTTCCCGACCTGGCCTGAGGAAGGGATCGCCCAATGATGAGAGGCGGCTCGATTTTTACGACAGATCAGCAAAGGTTCGAACGATTCGAACGTTCTTTTTGTTGTGGCACACTTATACTCTGTACAAAGATTGATGCGTATTGAAATCAATATTCACACTGATTCTTATTGTCACAATTTTCTCTTCCAAAGGTTGAATCATACATTTGCGCAGACACAATGTTTTCTTGAATTATACCAGTAGTATACCGCACAAGGCGGTGGCGGAAGTTTCAAACATAGGAAACCTATAGGAGAGATTGGTTGTTGTGAATCAGGGATGGCAGAGCGAAGCCACTGATGGACTGAAAGGTGGTTGAGGTCTCCTCTCTTTCTCTCTCTTTCTCTGACTACCTACCTACCTACCTACCTACCCTACCTACCTAACTATCTATGTATGTATTTATCTATCGATCTATATCTCTCTCTCTCTCTTTCATCTAATTACCTATCTATCTATCTATCTATCTACCTACCTATCTATCTATCTATCTACCTATCTATCTATCTATCCACCCATCTATCTATCTATCTATCTATCTATCTATCTATCTCTCTCCTTCATCTGTCTAGCTGTCTACCTGTCTATCTATCTATCTGTCTACCTGTCTATCTGTGGTGCAGTGTCATTCAGTGTAATGTAGTGTAGTGCAATGTAGTGTGGTGTAGTGGAGTGTAGCGGAACGTAATGTAGTCTAGTGTAATGTAGTGTAGTGTAATTTGGTGTAGTGTAATTTAGTGTAATGGAGTGTAGTGGAGTGTAGTTGTAGTTGTAGTTGTAGCTGTAGCTGTAGTTGTAGTTGTAGTGTAGTGGAGTGTAGTGTAGTGTAATGTAGTGTAGTGTAGTGGAGTGGAGTGTAATGTAGTGAAGTGTAGTGTAATTTAGTGTAGTGGAGTGTAGTGTAGTGTAGTGGAGTCTAGTGTAATGTAGTGTAGTGTAGTGTAATTTCGTGTAGTGAAGTGTAGTGGAGTGTAGTTGTGTAGTTGTAGTGTAGTGTAGTGCAATGTAGTGAAGTGTAGTTGAAGGTAGTGTAGTGTAATGTAGTGTAGTGTAGTGGAGTGTAGTGTAGTGGCATGTAGTGTAGTCTAGTAAAGGGAAGCGAAGCGACATCTGAACCTCCAAAAGTGGTCCGAACCCCTGGTGTTTTTAACATTTTGACTTGGAAATGTGCTTCGCGCCACAACGGCGTGCACTTTTTCGACATCTCAACTTCCAAAAGTGGTCCGAACGTAGTGTGTTTTGTACATTTTGACTTGGAAACGTGCTTTGCGCCACAACGGCGTGCACTTTTTCGACATCTCAACTTCCAAAAGTGGTCCGAACGTGGTGTGTTTTGTACATTTTGACTTGGAAATGTGCTTCGCGCCACAACGGCGTGCACTTTTTCGACATCTCAACTTCCAAAAGTGGTCCGAACGTAGTGTGTTTTGTACATTTTGACTTGGAAATGTGCTTCGCGCCACAACGGCGTGCGCTTTTTCGACATCTCAACTTCCAAAAGTGGTCCGAGAATGATGTGTTTTGTACATTTTGACTTGGGAATGTGCTTCGCGCCACAACGGCGTGCAATTTTTCATCTCTCATCTGGCCAGCTGGCTCCGCACCCGCCGCTTTAGCGAGCCTACTTTTCGACCCTCCGGAGCCACAAATCATTGGAAAAACACAGTGTTTCGCGACTTTCCTACCTTTTCGCGCATCTGCGTCTTCTTTCTTCTGACTCTTTCTCTTCTACTCTTCTCTCTTCTAATCTTTCTCTTCTCTCTGCCTCTGCCCTACTCTGCTTTTCATCTGTCCATATTGTCGGAAGTTTGACTTCTAAACTTCCTTCGATCATTTGATATTTGTGTAGTGTAGCAACTGCAATGATGATCAGCAAGCATAGGATGGTTTAAACATGGGGCACACCCGATTCCAACGCATTGTCATCATGATTCCCATCTACAAACATAATGGTAGATTGGATATATACATAGATAGATAGATAGATAGATAGATACATAGATAGATAGATAGATAGAGATATAGATATAAATATACACATAACATTTTCATGATAAAACCACATACTAATTCTTGAAACCACAGGGATCAGTTTATTCTGGCATTGTGTTGGTATCGATTCCAACAGCTGAAGGCCGAAAGCCGAGCCAGCGGACCCGAAGGAACCAAAGGAGGTCCAAAAAATAGCCAGGAGTCTGGGGTCTCTCTGAAACTGGAAGCGGTTTAGAATTCATTTTTTTCAGCCATATAATCCCACATGCATATTTGGCCATACATAATATATATATATAAGTGAGGATCGACATATTCTATTAATCTAACTCGGGGTATAAGCCATGTACTAAATGCAATGCACCCCCAAATACTGGTATGGAAAATGTGTTCCCCCCAGTTGTAGGCATTTTCCTCAACATGAGTTTTTTTTTATATCGTCAAATGGTCGTGTATGCTCAGACAAAGCAATATTGGTCTAATGTTGTGGCTACTCAAGTGGCTGCGGCCCATGTGAACAACTAGCAGCCTTGGTCTTTCATCAGATGTTGTGACCGACTCGCCTTCCAAAGTCAAAATTTTGTGGTACCTGCGCCATCCTCCGTTTGTGTTTTACACATACCTTCAAGCCTTTCATCAGCAAGATGTTGGCTTCTTTCTTGCAGAAGGAGGTGTGCCGTGTGCGAGTTCAATCATGGCTCAACATGCTTGCGTACCTGGTGAATCTTGGTATCACCTACGGCTCCTTGACTGGGGCCTTTGGCGCCACCAACGAAGAGTTGAGCGAGAAGTATCAGATCCTGGTTACACCAGCTGGATATGCCTTTGCCATTTGGGGAGCCATCTTCACTTGGGAAGGCATCTTTGCTGTGGCACAGATGTTTCCCTCTCTCAGCACCAGCCCAGTGGTTCACACCGTCACACCTTGGTGGATATTTGCCTGCTGCTTCCAGGTGGCATGGACGCTTTTCTTTGCTCAGGACCTGATTCCCGGATCCCTGGTGTGCATGTTGGGAATCCTTCTCAGTTTGGTCACTGCCATTCTGCGCACAGACTTCCTACCCGAGATCTCCCTGAAGGAGTACTTCTTGCTGAGGGCACCTTTTTCATTGCACTGTGGATGGATCATCGCCGCGAGTGTCTTGAATATCAACGTCCTTGCAGACTACTACATGTCATCGCAAGAGACAATGCTGATGTTAGCCATGGTGCCCTGACAGCACGTGGCGGTTGTCATTTGTGTTTTTCCATGTGTTTCATTGTTTCCCTTTTTTGTGCCTGGACATGGGATACGGATACTGAGCACATCTGAGCATGCTGTCCAACACAGATCCGAGCTTTTAATTTGCAGTAGAAACTGCTATCGACCGCCACTTGTTGTATCTTGGTTTGGAATTTGTCGATGTTCTTCCTGAGAGCGACAGTCAGGTTTGTCTCGCCGGCATCGCCGTGATCGTGGCCTTGTTCACATTTGCAGCTCCCAGGGCCGACCCTTTGATTGGTTTAGTGGCCGCTTGGGCCCTACTTGGCATCTATGTGGAACTGGAGAACCCTGAGAACTTGCTGAACATGAACAAGTTCAATTACATTGCTTGGCCTCAGCTTGTGATCGAATCAGTTCGACGAACCGCCTTGGTGCTGAGTATTGCTAGTGCATGTGCTGCCTCGATTGCCATTTTTCGCAGTGGATGGCAAAGGATGCGTGCGTCTGACAAGTCTTTGACCAGTGACGATGCCACCGCTGTGATTTGACCCGCATCGCAGGTGCAAAGTAAGTCATCCGCAGCCTAATTCATTGTACAGTGCAAACGCCTAAAGCCGAGCTGCTTCAAATCAGATGCGCCGGCTAGTACTGCAACTACTTCTGCTACCACTTGATGGAAACAAGATTCCATTGATGAGTGGTGCTTTTGCCAAGGGGAGCCAGGGGAAAACCTGTCAGCTGCCCCAGATTTTCTTCTTTTGCCGCTGTTACAGAGGGGAGGTGGATGATGGATGAAGCAAAAAGAGGCTGGAAAATGCAGAATCCTCTCGATGGGTTGTCTTGAGGTGTTCGGAAGGTTCTATGGAAGATCATTCTTAAAGATCTTAAAGCATCTTAAATTCATCAGATTGAGATTGATCATCAGATTGCAAAGTGATTGCTGCAAGTAAGTGGCAGTACGGTTTCCTGAGATGTGCATACATACTGAGAGAGAAACTTTGGCACGACCATTCTTCTGACCGACTCGCCTTCCAAAGTCAAGATTTTGTGGTACCTGCGCCATCCTCCGTTTGTGTTTTACACATACCTTCAAGCCTTTCATCAGCAAGATGTTGGCTTCTTTCTTGCAGAAGGAGGTGTGCCGTGTGCGAGTTCAATCATGGCTCAACATGCTTGCGTACCTGGTGAATCTTGGTATCACCTACGGCTCCTTGACTGGGGCCTTTGGCGCCACCAACGAAGAGTTGAGCGAGAAGTATCAGATCCTGGTCACACCAGCTGGATATGCCTTTGCCATTTGGGGAGCCATCTTCACTTGGGAAGGCATCTTTGCTGTGGCACAGATGTTTCCCTCTCTCAGCACCAGCCCAGTGGTTGACACCGTCACACCTTGGTGGATATATGCCTGCTGCTGCCAGGTGGCATGGACGCTTTTCTTTGCTCAGGACCTGATTCCCGGATCCCTGGTGTGCATGTTGGGAATCCTTCTCGGTTTGGTCATGGCCATTCTGCGCACAGACTTCCTACCCGAGATCTCCCTGAAGGAGTACTTCTTGCTGAGGGCACCTTTTTCATTGCACTGTGGATGGATCATCGCCGCGAGTGTCTTGAATATCAACGTCCTTGCAGACTACTACATGTCATCGCAAGAGACAATGCTGATGTTAGCCATGGTGCCCTGACAGCATCTGACAGCACGTGGCGGCCGTCATTTGTGTTTTTCCATTCATTGTGTTTCCATGTGTTTCCCTTCTTCCCGAATGCGCAGCACTCTGGGGGTGTGGGGTTGAGAGTGTGTTCGCTAGACGTTGCGCAACCGTTCGCAACCGTCTGCAACCGTTCCCAAAAGTCCGCAACCGTTCGCAAGTGTTCGCATGAGGTCGCCATGGCCGTGCCTACGGGGAATGCTGCAAAAGTGGTCACTTTTAAAGGTTTCAAACGTTGCTTTGCGTGGCAGGCGTGGCACTTCGTCACATTATCGTTTCAAGAGTCTTTCTGTGTGACAGGCACAATACTTTTGCATCGTTTTCAGAAGATGATTTCCAAGTTCCGTGGCAGGCGCAGCACTTTAGACGTGACGTGTTGCGTGCTGTTTGCCAATCGCGTTGACAGGGCTGCATCACGTCGTGACACTGTGAAAATTGCGTGGCAGGCGTGGGACATAGTGAGAGTTTACTTTGCACTTTACATTCCACACTCCACACTCTACACCCTACACTTTGCGTTTTACACTTTACACTTTACCCTTGACACTCCACACTCTACACTTTACACTCCACGCTCTACAGTGTACACTCCACACACTACAGTTTACACTCCACACTTTACACTCCACATTTTATACACTTTACACTTTGTACTCCATACTCTGCACTCTACACTTTACACTCCACACTCTGCACTTTACACTCCACACTTACACTTGACACTCCAAACTCCAGACTTTACACTCCACACCCTACACTCTACACTCCACACTCTACACTTCACACTCCACACTCTACATTGTACACTCCACACTCTACAGTTTACACTCCACACTTTACACTTTACACTTTTTGCTCCATACTCTGCACTTTACACTCCACACTTTACACTTTACACTTTGTACTCCATACTCTGCACTCTACACTTTACACTCCACACTCTGCACTTTACACTCCACACTTTACACTTGACACTCCACACTCCAGACTCTACACTTTACACTCCACACTCCACACTCTACACTTTGCACTTTGCACTTTACATTTTACACCTCACACTTTATATACACTTGACACTCCACACTCTACAGTGTACACTTCACACTCTACACTTTGTACTCCACACTACACTTTACGCTCAAAACTTCACATTCCGCAATTCCCACTCCACACCCTACACACTACATTCCCCACTCAACACTCCACTGTCTTCACACTCCACACTCTGCACCCCACTCCATTCCACACTCCACAGTCTACACCGGTACGGTAATAGGGGAAGAATGTACGTGACATCTGTGCCATTCACATACGTGTGAGCATTCGAGTTTGTGCCTGGACATGGGATACTGAGCACACTGTCCAACACAGATCCGAGCTTTTAATTTGCAGTAGAAACTGCTATCGACCGCCACTTGTTGTATCTTGGTTTGGAATTTGTCGATGTTCTTCCTGAGAGCGACAGTCAGGTTTGTCTCGCCGGCATCGCCGTGATCGTGGCCTTGTTCACATTTGCAGCTCCCAGGGCCGACCCTTTGATTGGTTTAGTGGCCGCTTGGGCCCTACTTGGCATCTATGTGGAACTGGAGAACCCTGAGAACTTGCTGAACATGAACAAGTTCAATTACATTGCTTGGCCTCAGCTTGTGATCGAATCAGTTCGACGAACCGCCTTGGTGCTGAGTATTGCTAGTGCATGTGCTGCTTCGATTGCTATTTTTCGCAGTGGATGGCAAAGGATGCGTGCGTCTGACAAGTCTTTGACCAGTGACGATGCCACCGCTGTGATTTGACCCGCATCGCAGGTGCAAAGTAAGTCATCCGCAGCCCAATTCATTGTACAGTGCAAACGCCTAAAGCTGAGCTGCTTCAAATCAGATGCGCCGGCTAGTACTGCAACTACTTCTGCTACCACTTGATGGAAACAAGATTCCATTGATGAGTGGTGCTTTTGCCAAGGGGAGCCAGGGGAAAACCTGTCAGCTGCCCTAGATTTTCTGCTTTTGCCGCTGTTACAGAGGGGAGGTGGATGATGGATGAAGCAAAAAGAGGCTGGAAAATGCAGAATCCTCTTGAGGGGTTGTCTTTTCTGCCCATTTGAGGTGTTCAGAAGGTTCTGTGGAGGATCATTCTTAAATTCTTAAACCATCTGAAAGCACCAAGTCACAAGATTGAGATTGCTTGTCAGCAGCAAGTAAGTGGCAGTAGCAGCATCGGACATGGCCCACTGCTTCCTACATACTGATATATAGTCTAGGTAGGGCGTGGTTCCCGTAGATGTGCTTGCACACTCCAAAGAATGCAAAGAACCCCCCTTCATATTTGTTTTGAAGGACAAGTTCCAAGACTATTGCTGGGATAATTTTAAGTCCTTTTGGATTTTCCCAAATATTGGATTTCCCCAATTCCCCAAATATTGGATAATTTTCCCAAAGTCTTTGGGGACATCCATCCAAGGGCCTTTTCGGTGCAGTGGCTTGCTGAGTTGTTCAGCTGATTCGCATCCCTCCCTGGGCACCCCATGGATTCCCTGCTCAAGTCATTTCAAATAGATATGTAGGTTGATCAGATATATATATATATATGTTGATATATTGATCAAATAGATATTAGTTGATCATTTCCAAAATAGATATGTTGATACTTTTATGGGAAATAAATACAATAGATATATGTATCAACATCAATACTCATTTCATTATGCCAACATTTGGAACATTCTTGATATGTTTGATAAATTTAAGATGATCAGATATGGGTCTTCCACAGAGGGGTGCACCTTGAAGGTGCCATCTTTAGAGCTCACTGGCACCTTTGACAACGTCAAAATGGATGGATCTCGAGCCTATCTCCCGGCGTATCTCCTGTGGAACCACTATGGGTCCGAAACTCAGGGTCATCACTTGCCATGACGAAAAACCACAAAAAAATTTGGTGATTCTTCAAGGCCTTACCAACGTGTGCCCTTCCCAGAAGTCGATCTGAAAGAGGTGCCTTGGAACGCTTGGAATCCGTTGAGTTCATGGAGGAAATTCGCAACGCAGAGAAAAACACTCCAGGTCACGGGCTCCTTGCGAAGGCCAAAGAGCGAGGGACTGCGATGCTGGCTTGCGATTGCTGCTTTTTTGGTCCAGATATAGATGATTGTGGGAATCAAGTGGAGACTGATCAAGTGGGACACTGTCACCCAATTCAAATTATTCATTTCATAGCAATATTATTGTTATCGCAATGATGATCCCAATCATCCCAGTAGCAATCCCAATCAAGCCATGATTGTGCCACCTTGGTGTCGTTGATGGCCGCCAGGATAAAGGTGAGATTGCAGCCAGTGCCCGATCCAGGTGGGTTTCCCCCCCCGAAATGTTGGAGGTGATTTCCCCCCAAAATGTATAGAGAAGTCGGTTGGAATCGGGTTTGCAGGACTGACATGGACAAAAAAAGGCAACTTTGAAAGCTTTGGCAGAGTAGATTGATTGCATGACCAATAAAATTTAATAAACACCTCCGAAGCATTTTGGGGCTCATTTTGGAGGGTTCTTGTGATCGGGTGGAATGAAACCTCCAGAACCAGGACCGGTTCAAGATGTTACTTTGCCAACTTGCAGACACACTGCAAAAAAGATGTTTTGCTCGAAACCATACTTACAGGGCCAGGGGGCTGCATATTCGTATACGGTAGGAGGTTGCATTGTTGCATTGGTGCAAGATTTGCTAGACGGCTACATCACAGAGGCAATAGAGGTCTATTTAGCAGAAAACTTCATGATTACTGAATGAAAAAATCGCTTTGGATACTGTCAAGAGAGATGCAAGCGGGTCCATACGGGTTGCCTGTGAAAGATCTTGAGGCAAACGGAGTGTTCACCACACTCACTCCAGTATTTGCCTGAGATTGCGGCGAAACAGCTACGAGCGGACGCTGCTTTGAGAGTTAAGAATGACAGTGAAGGATATTTTTTTATTGGAATTTTCCATTATTAAGCATTTTCGGGATTCCCCATTTGTGGAAACCTCCATATAAGTGCTCGTACTATGTACTGCTAGACGTTGAGGTCGCAACATCTTCCAATGAATCCCTTTGACGCACCACTTTCTGATATCGAACAAATCTGCTTTGAATGAGTGCGGCTGTTACGCCCTGTTCATGACAAGTTCCGCGTTGGCCAATTTCTGGATTTGCACTTGAGAACTGCAGCAACCATAGCGGACTTGGATTAACTCCATGCCATGGCTGTAATTCAGACATAGAAAAGTCAGCCAAGCTGATTCCTAGCCATTGGTGGTTGATGCAAATGCGCCCTATTCAGTTTTTTAGAGGACTAGCATCAGCCGAAGCCAATCCGAAGACGCACAATTTGATCAGAATTTCCACAACCACCAGAGTCAAACCATCACAAATTGTGATTGGACAGAGCCTTGTTTGAGGCAGTGCAAAAGAGCCACATGCAGATGTGAGTTGTGAACTTCGTTGGTAAGGATGTGCAGGTAATGCCTCACATGACATCTTCATTTATCTTCACTGTTCATCTTAACTCTTCTGGTTGTTGGTTTGGAACATTCTTTATTTTTCCATATATTGGGAAGAATCATCCCAACTGACGAACTCCTTTTTTTCAGAGGGGTAGTTATACCATCAACCAGTAGTATTGGCATTATAACCACTACTCTTAAATAATCCCACTATTGATGATTATCCCGTTATAATCCCATTAATGACCAAGTGGTACTATAACCACATTATTGGTATTAAATACCAATGATTAATACCAATAAGCAGTTGAAGTACCTTATTGGTTCTCAACCAGTATTATTGGTATTATAATCCCATTATATAATCCGATGACTTTTATCATCTTTTTCTTCCGACGTTGAGCGACTACAAAGCTGCCAGGACTGGTCAACTGCTCGGCATCGGGTAGAGCGACTACAAATGCTGGTGCCGCACCCAGCGAACAGTGAACAGTCACCCAACATTGACCCACGGATTTTTTTTGGTGTTCTTTATATCGTGGTTGTTGTCAAACCATATTGTAGTGGTACCAACCTTGAAGTGTTGGATGTGACTTTTCTGCTCGCAGTCTGCCTTTCACAATCAGCATGGCAAAACAGTGGAAAAAAAAACAGAAGCGAGCGTGTTGACCGTGCCAGACGCGCCTTCAAGAAAGAATGGACGATTGGCGGCCGAAATGAGCTGCTGAGCATTGCTGAGTGTTGTTTGGCGGCACTTGAGCCATGAGCAAAATATCTGGTTGACTGGTTAATTGTTGGGACTTACACCACCTCATTTATTGGGATTATGATAGCCCATAGTTTGCCTCACCGAGTGCTTGATGCCTTGGAGTGTTGGATGTTGTGGTTAAAGGTAAGCACACCCTGACAGCATCGCCACCAAACAATAGTAGGTTGAAGAATGTTGAAGACATACATTTCACAGATGTTCAGAACTGATATTGAGATGAGAAACATCAAGCATATTCAGCAGAGATTCGACAGTGACACCGCCATTCAGAATGGATTTTCTCTCAAGATGTCACCGCGAACCATGCAAAAAGCTGTGCGCGAAACACATGCCATGTGTATCCGTTGCTGTTGCATGCTTCATGCTTCACTTGTGAGAGAAAATAGATCCTCTACGTCTAGGTCTAGGTGATCTCAAATATTTGGCCCAACATCGAAGGCAGCAATTGCTGAATCTAAAGATACGTCTGTGACAGCCCTTTGCCAAGGAGACTAGAAACTTCATGACCCACTTCGGTAGAAACCCCTCTCTAGCACCTCTAGCCTTGCTGAGGTCATTCAAGATACCAACGATCCTCCTTGCCGCATTTTCTGCCCAAGCGGAATTGAGGATTCGGAAGAAACACTCCTGAAAAAGTAGACTAAGTAGACATTGACATTCACTGCTTATTTACTTTGCAACTGATTAGCATTCATTGTTTCAACAGTTCTTGGCACAGTGCCTTTCCATCATCCTTTAGCCCTTCAGCCATGGGCTGCAACGCGACCAAGTATGACAGCAGATATTCGAGCAGATATGGCGATGCATCTGATGATCCTCGGACGGTTGTATACCCCATTATACTCCCAGCTGACATTGTGTTGATGGGACATGATGACAAACCGGGCTATGATCGAATGAGCCACCGCAAAAACTCCGGCAATAGACAACAGAAACATGAAGTAAGCGATGGGACCTTCCCAAGTAGCAATACCTGAGGGTCATGTCATGCCTGTCCACGTACATCATTTTGCTTTAGGCGATACCCCTCAAATTTGCCAGGCATATTCTTTTGTACAATCGTGTGGTAAGCGATGGGACCTTCCCAAATTTGTTGATGTCCTTTTGGTGAACCTTGAGTTTCGGAGATGGCTAAAATGACGATTTTGTTTGATGAAACATGATCATAAACCATTGGGTTGTTTGGGGTACCCCATTCTTTGACGAATCCTTGGGTCCTGTTCCCTCCTGACAGGGTGACACCGTGCCATTATCTCCGATGTCAATCAACCGTTCTGAGACACCGCGCTATTACCCCAAGTAACTTGGAAGATTACATTTTGATAAGGTTGTCTGAAAAGTTATACCCCCAACATATTCCTAATGACAATTTAATGGGGAGAATCAGAGAATCATCATTAACCAGTGGATGGAATGGGGTATCCGATTTTCAGACAGAATTTTACCCATGAAGTAAGCTTTTGATTTTGGCCTTCTTATCAGTCGGCTCTGTCAACAGCCTATCAGTGCAACAGAATTGAGGTAAAGAGAGATTCACACAACACAATGTATCTCAAGTGTTTGTTTTTCTGCATCCTCAGTGTCTTTTCTTGCCTGGAAAACTGAGAAACTACTTGAAATCACCACATGTGGCTGGTCGACCAGGTATCTTCATGGACAGCCTTGGGACAAGTCCTTCTCACATCCCTACACTCTGCCCAGCGAGAAGTCCATGGCGCGATCCGAGACGAACCAGACGCTTGACACGTCCCCACTTGGCTTCCGGGGTACAGATTGATCCATTGACTATATTGAATTAAACTTCGCATCCCAAAACAAGCATACGTAGTACTAACATGTACTAACTGGGGAACGCTGGGCGAGGGTTTGGAAGCAGCAGTTTGATCGATTGCGACTAGCAGCCGCAGCCCAATGTTCGGCGAACCATGCAGAGGAAAACTTGGTGAGTGCAGAGCAAGACCGTGCTCATCAAATCCAAGTTCCCATGAAAAGACAGAGAGTCCTTTGACTTTGATACCTGTCATTTTAGAGGAACACAACAAAATTTTGATTTTGAGCTCCAGTTTTTCAAAGCGCCATGAAGAAACAGCTAGAAATTCTTCATGAATCCATCTCCGTCAGGAAATGGAACCCGTACCGCGCGGACATCGATGGCCTAAGGGGTGTTGCAGTGATGGCCGTGACTTGACACAACGCGACGTCACTGGAAGAATGGTGAATGTACAGGTTCCCAAATAAGAAGCCTCATTTTAGGTCGAATTATTGTAATTTTATAATCTAATTACCCAGACGTATCATCACTAGTTTCAAGGTACCCCCCCCATTAGTTTACAGAGCTTATGGATCTGACTTAAGTGGTAGAACATGGTAGAACACAAGGATAATAACATATAATAATCCCCAGCCATTGTTGATGATTAGTGATTAGTATATTCAATATCCACCCATTTCTGCTTTGTTTATGGAATGGTTTGCCCATTCCATCCCATGATTTTAAACAGTTGAAAACCTCATATTCCCCAGGAAAAATGACCATAAAGTATGTAGATCATCATACCCGCAATTTTGGGACAGCCCAAAAAAAACAAACAAAGTGTGGATTTTTGAACTATATTAAAGAACTGCACAGCAGTTGTTGGGCAAGTGGACAAGTCCGGAGCTCCACCAGGTGGTTCTCTATCATCTGAACTCTTCTTGGCTTCCGACAGGTCACCTGGTGCGGTGTGACAACATGGGTTTTTACCATTCGGTGCATCTAAGATCAAATCTAAGTCCATGTATATGTAATTATGATTGCTGTAATTATGTGTATGTAATATGTACATATATGAACATGAATTTCGGTGTTGCTGTAGTAGGGGAATTTATACTATATATATATACACTATACGCTACTATACCATGGATTACATGGTTGATCTCATACTTACGCAGCAGGATGTGAGTCCAAGTTGACCAGAAGATGATGCCAATTACGCATTGGACCTTGTGCTGGAAACATAGATGCCGCATTTCGTTGCTAAATGTTGCTAAACATTTTTTTCACATTCGCGTTGTCGTGTTGTAGCGATTGCACAGGCAACCATCAAATGTGGACTTCGATTTTGTGTATTCAATGTTCAGCCGGATGCCAACAGGTTTGGTGGGAGTGGATATATTTTTCACGATCTCTGGTTTTGTGTCCCGGCAAGCAGAACCGTTCTGAGTGGCAGGGCTGCTCTAAGCCCGGGAGGTGAAACTGTCTGAGCGTTGAGGAATTCATCAAAATTGCCATGGCAAGTGTGTGGTCGTTGAACCTCAACTTAGCAAATAGCTGTGAAAGCTCACAAGACCGAGCATGATCCTATCTTCCATAGAAAGATAGTTAGTAACTGCCATAACTCAGAACTTGTTCCCGAAGAATTCAAGCAAATTATCCAAATTCATTCTGGCTTTCCCCATCTTTCCGCATCTGGACGACACTGGTTTCAGAACCCCTTGGCCGTTGAGGTCGTGACGTCGTCCCTTTGGGGTCATTTTGAAGAGGAACGGAACTGCTTGGTCTGAAATCATCGGTTTTGGCCACGTTTCCCCAGTTTTGGCCACAAGCATATTGAACGTATTCAGCTGTCTCATTATGGGGTCCTGCAACTTTACCCATATCATCCATATCAATCCATATCAATCTTACATGATATTTTTTCAGCAGTCTCTAATGTCTCTAGACACAATCTTTCACTGCACCAGCCTGTGGTCAAAATTGGGATGGTTTATTGTTAACTCAATCCCATAGCTGACATCTGACATACACCGCACCTGCCGAAGTCCTGGTGCTTTCGATTTGGATTTTTCGGGTTGGCTACTCCCCATATGAACTGTTGACTGCTGCTTGGATGATTTTCCAGTGTGATTCGCCACTTCAGATGTTAACCAAGCATAATAACATCTATACTATATAAGACTATATTAACATATAATAACAATGTTAACCATATGGAGGATTCCTAAAATGGGGGGGTACCCCCTAAATCATCCATGTGAATCGGATTTTCCATTATGAACCGGAACCATTTTTAGGGGGGTAATCCCATTTTTGGAAACCCCCATATTGTCCATGTTATCCACTGGTCAGGACCAGAGCTTATGCACCTTTTGTTGCGACTTCTTCGCCAGACGTGCCAAGCGCCAACTGCCTCAGCGGAAAGGAACCATGTTTCCTTGAGAATTCATAGCATATCCATAAAGAAATCATGGGAAATCATAGTAGCGTTTCTAAGCCCATGGATTTGTGGTACCCTACTTCAGTATTTTCAGAGAGACCCAGGGACCCAGAATTGAACGTGGGGATCTAAACATATTTAATCAATGAGTATAGTACAGATGGGTGTGTTTCAACATTGATACTGGAATACCCCCATTGATCGACATTGGCTCACAACTCTATGACCTGGATTTTCCCCAAGCTGGTTTCGACATCTGAACATGTTTTCATATGGATCATCATGGATCTTAGCTCAATCACTCAGCAAAAAACTGATCTCAGCTCAACTCAGTCACTCAATCACTCAATCACTCAGCTCAATCACTCAGCAAAAAACTCAGTTCCACAACTCAGCAAAAAACTCAGCTGTCAGTTGGTGTTTCTTTGGCGAAGTGCCCATCGGCTCGAGGCCTGCTCCCAACGGCTCTTCTGGTGATTGCATCCACCGCCTTGGCCCTGGCCTTGGTGGCTCCCCATTGGGATCCTCGCACCGATTCTTGGCGCTAAAGAAATATCAGGAGTTGACCATGTACCATCATTAGTATATATACCCTATTATATATATACACACCATGTATGTATGTATATATATATATATAATCATATATATATAATCATATATATAATCATATATATATAATCATATATATATAATCATATATATATAATCATATATACCCAATGTTCCTTTTTTTTCAGACAAATCCAAGTGGAGCGATCATTTGAACCAACGGAAATATCGTCGACCCGTCCACAAATGGAGGGAACTCTTCATGCCAGTGATACGACGTAGCTGTTGCGAGGCAATGTATACAGCGCTGTTGTATTCTGGTTGGTGGTTTGGAACCATGGAATTTTAAGACTTTCCCATCATATTGGGAATTTATGATCCCAACTGACGAACTCCATCATTTTTCAGAGGGGTAGGTATACCACCAACCAGGTATTCTTTGACTTCTAACATCTTGGAACCAACAAGGCCAGGTAACACACACTCTGAATGGATGCAACGTGGCATGTGGGCAGCATGGATGATATCCGTGTGAAAATGCAAGGGGATGCAAGGGGGGGAAGATCATAGACATCCAGGACCATCCAGAACCAACTGGGATTTTGATACAGATGCGGGTGATGCGGGTGATGCGGGTGATGCGGGTGATGCGGGTGCTGAGCTAAGGAACGATTTCTGCTGGTGGGCCTTTCTGGTACGTCTTGATCTCAAGGAAGTTGATGAAGTTGCCCCTCATTGAGCTGAGGGCTGAAGTTTCCACTGAAGTCCCCCCCGAAAATTGCATGTTTTTTTGGTGCTGAGGTTTGCAAATGCCAACAACTGGCTTGTCTACGAACGTGCGGATGCACAGTGTTGAAGGATTGCAAGATGTCCCAGTTATGGGTCTGAAAATAGGATAGGAATCCCCGGTGATGGCTGTAACAATATGAAACATGATGATAACCCAGTGGATGGCACGGGGTACACTGTTTTCAGACCCAAATCATTTTTTTGGGGGGAAGGATGCAGATGTTTGGGACTGCCAGAGTAGCATGCCGTCTCAAGACTTTCAGGTGATGACTACATGGTTTCTTTGCTGCAGAAACAGCAGAAACGGATGTCTTGTGCAGGGAGACTATCTTAGACTAGCCATACACATTGCTAGGTAAAAGGTCATAACCAATTCCTAGCCATGCATTGCCTCATAGTGAGTTTTCCTTGCGTCTTGCCTGTTCAGTTCCATATTTCTATAGAATAATGTGTATATATATATGATTATATATGTATATTGTGTATTGATATCTACATATACTTACTATATCACTGTATATTTCTATGTATCGCCATCGATATATTCATATAGCATATTCACCGATTCTGCCGTTAGTTTCAGGATTTTTTCAGCAACGATGTCCACGACTACAATCCCTTTCTGCACCTTTGGTCTCTGGGTGTTGAGGAACAGCTCCTTGAACTGGATGGAAGTCAGCCTCAGAGTTGATGGCAGCAGATTCTAAGAAACTGGTGTTCTGTATGGTACCCTCCTGTGAATTAACGTAGATGTGGAAAATCCACCATTTCTAGATTCTTTTCCGAGGGAAACCATGGGTCTTTTAGATCTATGTTAGATTACCCTAGGGTATGGTATAAAGATGTGGGAAAGAGGAAGATCATCAAACAAGATATAATGGGAATGTGTAAACGTAAATTTCTACTGGGATCCGCCACAATGATTTTGGATGTGTTTGAAAACGGGGAACCTCCCAAAATGCATTTTTAATCTGGAAAGTCATGATGAGCCCTAGGAATTGGAGTTACCCCATTTTCACACACACCCATATTCACATAGAAGATAGATACTATATATATATATATATAATGTAGGTATTTTATTGCAAAATTCAGTGCAACATAATGCAATGCAATGTCATGCTCTATATTTGATGAACATTTATACCCAGTATCCGACATGTTTTTCGTGGTCCTCTTTTGGCCAACAACATGTGCCTTGCGTTTTTTTCGAGGTTCTACATCGTGGCACCATGGCTTCTCTACCACAGTTTGCAGGCGCTGGACAAAGGCAGGTCATCCAACATCACTATGGCAATGAACAGCACGCGGGCACGCATGAATTGTGATGAGGTGTACTTAACTGCTATTTCTGGATGATTGGAAATAATTGAACTGGACCTGAATATATTTTATACACCATAAAAATTCAATGAGAGATCACCGTTTTTTCAGAAAATCAGATCTTCATCATTTGTTGGACCTCGCCTCATTCTCCATTCTCTGCAGGCAACGGCGCGACGACCTGGATTTTCCTCACCCTTTCCGTGGCAAGCATCATGTTCGGTTGGTGGATTGACCAGGCCTTTTTTGGGGGAACATTCCACCGACCAGACCAGTTGTTGCCTGGGTCAATATATGGAAGATCCAAGGCCAGGTACTCGTATGGCCAGGGTCGTGTTTTTGATATGTTCAGTATTGATTGTTATAACCTGTCGGAAATCTCTGCGAGTTTCATCTCCCATCATCTCCCGCTACCAAATGGAGCTACCAGAATTTGACCACATTATTCCAGGGGGAAAATTGGGAAAAGGCAGCTGCTCATAGAAATCACCTGACACAACCGACTGACAGCATTTCCGGCTCGGGTCGAGAAGAGCGCGGCATTGAGATGTTGGAATCTTGGAGAAACATGTTGGGATTGATGTGCAGCGGCATAATTGTGGGATGTACCCTCTGGTAAACTAACATAACTATGGAAAATCACCATGTTTAATGGGAAAATCCACTATAAATGGTCATTTTCAATAGCTACGTTAAATTACCAGAGGGTGATATGATTTTACTTGACATAATTATTGAACACGTGTGAAAACGGAGGATGTATTTCTGTGGAAATTTCAACGGGTTTTGTTGATGAACAATACCGAGAAATGGCAATGAGTGATTGTGATGGTGATGATGATGATGATGATGATGAGGATGAGGATGAGGACGAGGACGACGACGACGACGACGACGACGACGATGACGATGACGATGACGATGATGACGATGACGATGACGATGACAAATGACGATGACGATGATGATGAGGAGGAGGAGGATGAGGATGAGGCTGCTGTTGCTGCTGATGATGATGATGATGCTGATGATGATGATGATGATGGTGATGATGATGCTGATGATGATGCTGCTGATGATGATGATGATGCTGATGATGATGCTGATGATGCTGATGATGCTGATGATGCTGATGATGCTGATGATGATACTTCGTTGCATATCTTGTTTTTACCTCTGTGGCCGTGGCCAGTCATATTCCTACTTAGCTCTTGATCTTCCAAGAAATCGGCCTGCTCTTGGGGACCTGAGCTTTCAAGCAAAACTAGGTTCAAGGGAGATGGCGGATCTAACTGACAAAACATGATCTAACCAACAAAATGGCGGTAACACGTGATTTAATGAGAATAGTAATGACGAACAGTTTGCCATGGAAAATCGCCTTTTTTAGTAAGTAAATCGTTTACATACATAGGCCATCCATACCATCGTAACGTGTCACAGAGGGATCTGGAGGGTAGCCAATTGTGGGACTCCTGCTCTTAACCAGCCAGTGGTTCGTTTAATACCCGCAGGTATTGTTCTTGTGGGGGTCTTATCACGGCTATTTTGGCCCAGGTGAAGGCTTTTCTATGTTGTCTCTTACATCTGGGGCAAAGTCTTGAAGAGACCTGCCCATTATCCTCAGATGGCAGTTGCCAACAAGCGAAGCCAGGTGCGGACATTTTGCCGATATTAGAACATCTTGGAAGATACTGCAGGATTGGCAAAAAATTGAGGTTTCGAAATTATGAAAGTGAACTCTATAGGATGATAGAGTCCATCTACACCACCATTACACCACCAATAAGTATGCCTCCAAATGATTTCCCACCCAAGAATGCAAGCAGTTTAGTTCAGTTTAGCGCTAGAAAACGACGCAGTTTCTTGGCCCTTTGCTCCTCCTTTCAGCCGCATGATGCAGGTCAGGTTGTGCCATCCTGCGAAGAGGACATTGAGCTGAAAGATCTGGTTGAGAGAGCAAAGCTGCTCTGCAACCCTCGACATGTACCTGAAAGTGTGCGACCACCCAAGAAGATCTCAGGTTCCACTGGGTGTGCAATCTTTTTTGTGAGCAGATTTATGAGGGATAGAACCAGCGACGATTTATGGGTCCTGGGTCACTATTTTGGGATTTTCCTGGGAGAACCAACATCCACGGGAGCTGTCAGTTTGTTTTCAGATTTTCCACTTGCAAGCTGACGTGGAAGTTTGGAGTCAAGAACAAGGCAAGAACAAGCATGACGTCTCATACAGCAACAAGGAAACATGGACATGAATCATGAGTGCAGAAGGGAAGAGTGCCCTTTGTATTAACTTCTTCCTTTGGCAGTTGGGGCTTAATTAGATCATTTGTACATTTTTGGCTGCCTGGTTGCTGCGAACTGTAGAGGCTTGTACTGGCTGAAGGGCCTTCCCCTGCCAGATATTGCTGGGTGCTTCAGAGTCTCGGCAAGAGCAATGGATTGCACGTGTTTTTTTTTCTAATCATTTAAAATCTGTTCTTGAGATGTTGGTTGTGCTACACCATCTGGTAAGAAATCTTCGCAATTCCTTCATGTTGTGATTCTGTGGAGGTACCGGAGAGTGGGATCAAGCGACATTGACCTTGAAACTGATCGTTTGGCGGGACTTTTTCTTCAAGAACGACTTTGCGGGTCGATCTTTGGCTGGAGCGCTTTACGAGAGTTCCTTCGCCTATTTGATCAAGTTCAAGGAGATCCTGAAAAGAGAAGTTCATATCGTCAAAAAGCCCTTGTACAACTGATTGGTCATAGATTCATAGACTTTAAATCTGGATGAGAAGCAGACAGGACATTTTCCATTTCAGGATTTCTCATGATACCGAGATAGCATGAGATAACCCCCTTCTCGGAACAAACATGTTGTTGATCCAAGTTAGCATACACAGAGAGCCCGTTTTCGAAGCTCCCGGAAACCGGAGACCTTGGGAAAACGTGACGCGACCGTGCAGGATGATACTCTTTCAGAAGCTGACATCACTCCGACCACTTCGTCGCGCCTCTTCTCACCCCTTGTGACAGCTTTTGCATCCATCAGCCCTTTGCTCAGAGGATTGATCAGCTTAAAACCTATTGGAAAACATTGGAAAACCTATTACCCTCTGGTAAATAAACATAGACCCTGAAAATCACCAATTTTTAATGGAAACTAGTCTTCCAACCCCTATCTGCCCGGGTCTATGTTAATTTACCAGAGGGTAAACCACATGAAACAATATCTTGAGGAGATGAACATCCATGAACAGCAGCCATTTTGATGTGCGGACCGCAGACCAAAACGCATGTTTTTTTCAACTTGGACTTTCCCATTTGGATGATATGATGAATCATCATACGAGTATTCTAGATCCAATCATATAATCAATGTCGAATCTCATATAGAAATCATCAATATGAATACATAATATATTTAATTATAATATGATTATACAATATTATATATATATTCATATATTATGTACATACGAATTGAAGACTTTGCCCAGGGCGCTTAGAATCTGAGGTTCTTTTCCATTGATCGAGGTCACCGGAGTCCCTCCTGGCAATCGCTATGCACGGCCATCCTATTTTGGCATCGCCGACTTTAAGGTGCAGCAGAAGGCAGAAGATGGCAGGAAGACTCGGGAAATCTTGGGAAATCTTGGGATTCACTGGATTTTGTGATTTTGGGGCACAGTAAATTTTGCTTGGGCGATGAGGCTCCATGTAGGCTGGCGATGTGGGATTTGTGGGGTCCCGCTGGTGAGAGGTGCTGACCAACGAGTACGAAGCCTGGAAAATCCTGGACGCCGATCTGCACCCGGTCATGGATAATGTGCAGATGATGATGAAACTGTGGCAAGTCTGCAAGGGACTGGCTATGACCGTTCATTAAAAAAACACCCCCATGGTTGGTCTCAAAGATGTGTAAATCCCCTATTAGATCATGGTTTCTGGGCGTCAATCTCAGAGGGAAGGGATCAAATTAGTTCGAAGGTTATTAAATGTTATTAACCTACCCTTTCTACATTGGGGATTCTCATAGATCTGCTTAGTCCAGTCCGGGAATCGCGGTGACAGTTTTCAACACTTCTCTGGTGTTCTTGGTGGTTTCACAAATAGTTGAAATGAACCATCCGGATAATGACTTTATGGAACGAAAGACATGTCGGGATGGGCATGTTCTGAATTGGACAGGGGATGAAGATAAAGCCATAAACGGCTATTTTGGTGTTCACTGCTGTATACACGGGTTTTGATATTAGTGTCGATGCAAACCGGGAGACTAGGATCGCTCGGAGTGGCTCCTGATGACGGAATCCCAAACGGCATGTGCCTTTCGAGCTGGACCTGCCACCATGTAGGAACCCACTAGGGAGTTTGTTGCTTACAGTGTGTTTGCTTGGCCCAGTAGCCATAGCACCAGAACATACCAGAATCCAAAAAAACCTGGCCAAAGTCAAAATCCTGGCCATAACTTGTGGTTTCAAACATGATGTTGGGATGATGATCCTGAAGCTCCCAAAAAAGTGGCCAGATGTGTCAATCTGTCTCCAGGTTGCCGCGGCAAATCGGCGACAAACACCTGGTGAAGTTCTCCGAAGGCCCCTGCGCGGCGGACACCAAAACGGACGCCCGGCGAAGCGATCGCAGCTGCTCCAGCGGGGTCTTCCTGGAGCTGGCCAAGCAGCCGCGCTTAGGGCTGCTGCATCAGGCAGCTGCCGGGCTGGGTGATCTGGTATGATCTGGTTAAATTTCTAGTGACCTCACTGTGACGCTAGTAGGAAATCATCCCAAAAGAAGCTTATGTCAGCTTAGTGAATTGTTTTAATTTATCCAGAATTATGGTTAGGGAAGCATCCCAAAATGGTTGAACTATGTCGAACTTTTGAGGTGAATTATATAGCTGTAATTTATCCAGAGGGTGTGTTTTTCACATAGAAGCACGATAAAGCAGGCATGATATGGGGAAATTAAATGGGAATCTACTGGGATATGGATATAGTGTCAATAGGTGTTTTGGTTGTATCTCCAATTTGTGGCAATTTGATATGTCTGGGAAATTTGGGTGTCCAATTCTGGGGAATAAAACCAGCCAGATATGGGGAATGTACGATGATATTTCTTTGGAATGCAATGGAGAAACAGACAATAAAACATAATAAAACCACATAACCCATAGGATCCTGGTGCTGCTATATATGGTGTGCCATGGATCCCATCAATATACCCCAGTCATGTTAGCATTAATATACCAGCACCAGCCGGATCCGTCATGGGTAATATGATGAATCTTTGTCCTAAAATGCGGGTGGATAAAAATCCATCGCAACTAGGAGTGAAAAACCAATGATGGATTTCTGGGTCATTTCAACCCAGATTTATGGCCATTTCAATAAGAAGAAACATGCGCCCTCTATGGATTTATGGCTATCATTGGCTATCCTATTTTCAGGCAAAGCCACATGACCAGCTCTGGAATCCCAGACTTTGGTGATTTGAAAAGCATTGATGGCCATGAATTGAGGTACCTCCGGGAAGTTGCAAGTTCCAATAGATCAACAGTATAGAATCAGCTTCGGCCCAGTTTTCTGGATTTCAACCTGTCAGTTTTCTCGGGATCAATTTTTGAATTGGTTGAATTGGTTACTCTGAACGCCGATGCCATCCGATGCCCACGGTTACAGGAGATTGAAGGTGGTGAACTGAAACTGCTTCACGCCTTTGCCAGCGGCTGCCATGCAGAGTATAGCCTCATTTGCCGCGAGGGCGTTTTTGAGGTCAAGGCCAGCCAAGGTTGATCAGTCAGGGATGGATAGCCCAACAGATTTGAGGATGGTCCAACAAATAGAAATGATATCTGTATGAGTTTATATGAATCTTTATCAATCAACATCTACTGAGTTACTCTATGTTTTCTATATTTGGTTATTACTGTAATCATAATTTATCCAGAATAATCCGAAGGACGATTTCATCGAATTGGATCAGGGGAACATCATTTCGCGAACACAATTTCACTGGGGAACTGGGGAACATGGGAAATCACGATTTTGCAGGAAAACACACGGCTTTCTTGTTAATGGATACACATCCTAAATAATGGTTATCGGATGTTATCGGTACAGATCCCATTTTTTGTTCGAACTTTTTTTGTTTTGCGGGGGGGGGAAACATCCACCATCAAAATGGCTGACAGTGCCTAAATAAAAATAACTCTATTGGTCAAATTTCCCATTTTTGTTGGTTAAACCCCCATCATTGTTGATTGAATTCACTCTTTTTGTTGCCTTGAAATCATTATTCCTGTTGACTAAATTCCTATTTTTTGTATCTTTTTCTTGCGTTTTGTTTTTTGAGATGTGTCATTCCATGTCACAGGAGTCACACCTCTGCAGCAGCGGCCACTTCACCGGTCCGGGCGCAGCGGTGGTGGAGCAAAGCTGGGATACTTGGTTTTCCAATGGATATCTGGTTGGTGGTTTGGAACATTTTTTATTTTTCCATATATTGGGAATAAGCATCCCAACTGACTTATATTTTTCAGAGGGGTTCAAACCACCAACCAGATATGTTAGATACTGAGCTGTAATCCATAATATCCAAATTAATATCATATCTAAGAATATAATATATATATGTAATGATGGACATGTTCATTTTTTTGGACGTATATTTCTATTAGCTGATTAGCTGATCTTTTAAAAGATTATATCAAATGGAAAGTTTCATTAATCTGTTGATGACATATCTAGTAGTAATTGGATGTAGAAACTTGAAGTTCAACTGCTTCAACCTGCCAGTGTTCATAGGGGATCAATGGAGGGCTAATTATTTTAGGTTTTTTTTTTTGACAGGTTTAGGAATTATTTTTGGATTCCTGCTTCTCTGCTTTTCCTGCTTTTCCTGCTTCTCTGCTTTCCTGCTTTTCCTGCTTTTCCTTCTTTTCCTGCTTCTCTGCTTTTCTGCTTTTTTGCTTTTCTGCTTCTCCTGCTTTTCTGTTTTTGCTGTTTCTTTGCTTCTCTGCTTTTCCTGCTTCTCTGCTTTTCTGCTTTTCCTGCTTCTTTGCCTTTCTGCTGTTTTGCTTTTGTGCGTTTCCTGTTTCTTTGCTTCTCTGCTTTTTTGCTTCTCTGCTTTTTTTTTGCTTTGCCTGCTTTAAATACTTGATTTTCATGTAAGATGCATTTTGCACAGTATTTACATCCCTGAGTATCACATGACCAACCTTCTCTTGAAAACTAGCAACGTAACATGTGAGAAGAGGTGCTTGCATTCTGCTTTGGGGGGAGGCGCTGCGCCCTTGTTTTTGTTTCGACCTAATACCTACATAGGTACATGCATGAGTATTGAGCACATTTATATGCGCCCCTCAAGGCTCAAGAGGTATATAGAGTAACCCTGTAGACAAGCACGGACCGGCAACAGGCTGAGTAAAACAAGTGCTGTCATTGGGGAAGACGCCTTAGCTGATCTTGAAGTAGACGCTAGGGCCCCTCTTCAAGTGGTAGCGGAGCAGTGATCCCTCATTGAGGGTGAGCTCCAGGTAGAGCCCAAGCAATGGCACGCCATGGCTATGATGATGATGACTTCGACATTGTCGATGCAAATGAATGGAACCAATATGACTCTTATGCAATGAGAAGAGCACCCCAGCATACACAGATTCATATGACGCAACAGATGACCACAAAGGTTGCTCCAGCCTATGATGGGCGAACCAGCTTCTTTGCTTTTGAGGATGCAATCGATGACTGGTGTGACATTACGGAGTTAGAACCAGAGAAACGTGGTCCAGCATTGCGCAACAGACTGGAAGGAGATGCTCAACAATACAAGAGGCTATTGGATAGAGAATTACTCAGGGATCCCTATGAAGGAGTAGCTTATTTCAAAAGATTTCTACGACCTCATTTCATCAAAGGTGCCCAGAACGTGTTCTTATACCGTTTCATGCAGTTCATGAAGTTCAACAGAGGAACCATGGATCTTCAGAAGTGGATGACTAGATTTCAACTCACTGGCAATAGACTTATTGAGTCTTGGATGGATTTACTTCCAGAAGTAACAGTGACTAGTCCTGAAGCAATCCTGTTTGTTCAGCAACGACGTCAAGAACATGAACGAGATCAACAAGAGAGAGCTGATGTAGCAGCAGCCTCAGGAACACCCCATGTAGTTGTTCCTTGGTCAGATGAACTGGCACTAGCGGCATTCAGACAATTTCAGGAAAATCGTAGACAAGTACAGCGACAAGCATTCCCACTGGGTGAAAATTTGCTAGCATTGATTTTGTAAGTCTAGCTGACCTGAGTCAAGATCAGAGAAACACACTCACAAGTATCATGACACATCGTGGACGAACCCTCGATCGATACAGCATTCAAGAACTACGTGACCTGTTTTTGGAATTTTTTTGCACTACCAAAACAGCAGTTGACAATCCATTGATGCAACCCTCTGGCATGGCACAGAGAAGATCTTTCCTCGTACTGGATGAAGGTGGATTAGAAGGAACCGACGGCTATTGGGCCGAAGATGAAGAAGACGGCGCAGAAGGATTCCTGGATGCTTTAGAAGATGTTTTCTGGGTTTATGATGACGCCAACTTCACATGGTATCAGAGAAGGTTCCAAGGCAAATACATCAGACGAGGCAAAGGTAAAGGAAAGAGAAAAGGAAAAGGAAAAGGCAGAGGAGGACGAAGGTTCTTCAGATCAAGAAAAGGAAAAGGCCGAGGTAAAGGAAGAAGAAAAGGCCGTGCTCACATGGTGAGTGAAGAAGATTATGAAGAAGATTGGCAAGAAGATGAATGGAATGAAAACTATGACGGCTATTGGGCCGATGATCAAACCTGGAATGAAGGCTATTGGGCCTATGATGATTCATACTACATGGATGAGTATGGATACTTCCAGAGGAAAGGAAAAGGAAAAGGAAAAGGAAAGAAAGGCAAGAAAGGCAAGGATGATGATGGAAAAGGAGGAAAGCCAGGAGATGGAAAAGGCAAGTCGAACTATGTTCAACCTCAGACCACATCAGCTCCTGCCATACAGAATCAACAAACTCAACAAGCTCATTATTCTTCTGCAGCTTCAAGCTCTGGTCATGGTTTCTTTTCATTTGGAACACCTGACCCATTACGTGTTGATGTTGCAGAGACAGAGCCAGCACGTGTTGATGTTTTGACATCCACGTATGCAGCACAAGATGAACAACGACGCACTCGTCGTGGAGGACAGAACCAACGTGATGCAAGAGCACAGCAAAACATAAGGGAAAAGAAGAGATTCCCTGTTCTGGTTGGAGAAGTTGATGCACTACGACAAGGTGTACGACAACGTCCAGCTGTAGTGCCCAGGCAAGTTGGTCTTCAAGAAGGTGAGGCCTCATTGAGGCCATTGGCAGAAGGCACATCATTGTTTTCATATGGATGCTCTACAGAGATAGAGGAACCATCACAGCAGAGTGCTTTTTCATTTCATACTGTACAAACTGATCTGGCATGTGAGAATGGACTAGCTTTTCACACAGAGAATTCTGCACCACCAACTGTGTGTATTCTGGATCTTGGATGCACAAGAGCTATGGGCTCTCGACGAGCAGTTGAAGCATTTTGCAGATATGTTGACTCACATCCCAACAGTGGACTCTGGTATGAAATTCAGCCAACAAGTTCAAGATTCTTCTTTGCAAACTCACAACAATCAAAATGTACTGAGAAGCTCGTGATATTCATGTATGATCATGGATGGAACACTCAGTTTACAGAATTCGACATTGTCGAAGAAGGTGATGTCCCATTGTTGATGTCACTTCCACAGATGAGAAACCTTGGATTTCAATTTGAACTTACTCCAGAGAAGGCTTATTTGTCCTGTGCACGTATTGGCATGAGAAAAATGGTTTTGAGGACAGCCATTAGTACTCATCTCATTCTCGACCTACAAGATGTAGCATGGTACATGAGCCAAGTTCATTTCAAGACTCCACAAGTCAAAAGTTTCTATTCACAACACGATCACTTTGAGTACAGCCAGATTGCTGTCAAACAAGATGATCATGAAGGAGAAGCTTTGGTGACTGGTGACTACTGGCAGGTTGATCCACTACGTCGTGAACTCATCAGGCACCACAAGGACAAGAGAATGAACTTACATGAGATGACTCGATCAGAGAAAACTCCAATTCCAAAAGAACAACTTCTTGATGAGAGAGAAACCCACATGGAATTCCAGAAGAGCAAGAAGAAGGTTCTTCACAAGGACAACTGGCGCACTGAGAAGAAGAGGTTTTCTGAACAGAGTGAAGAGTTCTGGAAGGGCAAGACCATCTACAAGATCAAGGAGGACTACGTGATCCCAGATGACATTGTCAGAAGTGACATTGATCGTGCAAAGCCCTTTCGTGGAAACATTGATGATCTTTTTCACCCTGAGTCAGCCTCTTCAGTGCCATCAGGTGTACAGAAGAAGAAGCCAAGCTCCTTAAAGAAGGAGGAAGGCAAACCGATTTCAAATGGACCAGGCTCGAAAAAGATTGAGGTAGGTCCACCTGCAGCCAAAAGACACGTAGGTAAGCAGAAACCTCAGGTTGTCGATGACTCTCAATCAGGTTCATCAAGAAAGAAGGTTGTTGTCTCCTATCCCAAGCTTGATGAAGAAGATGAGCTTGACAAGGTAGCTAGGGAGTTAGGTTTGGACAAAATTGATTCAGATGAACCTCAAGTCATTGAACCAAAACATTCTGCACCTGCGCGCAACCGTGGTAAGCAAGATTCAGAAAGTCAAGTTGAGAAACTAGGTAGTGATGCTCTTGAGCCTAGGCGAGTTTCGATTCCACTGCCTGGTAGTGAAGTGCAAGCCATGACACCAGCATACAGAAAGATGCTCAGGAAACTGGAGGATAGTGTGGAACTCTACAAACTTCACATTAAACACTATCACATGTCTCCCACTCAATTCAGACAAAGGACTTCCATGTTAGGACTTCCTGACTCTGTCTATCAGAAGTATGAGGAGATGTACAACAAGTGTCGTGTGTGTAGTACTTCAATTGCACCACCGCCGCGAGCCAGAATTTCAGGCATACGATCCACCAACTTTGGAGATGTTATCTTTGTTGATCATGCTGAAATTCAGTTGAGGAAGAACAAGTACATGGTGTTGCTTGTTCTTGATGGTGCAACCAACTTACTTTGGACTACGGCACAAAACTCACTGAACAACAAGGAGACCATTCAGGCTCTAAGGTTGTGGACTGATGAACATAACTGTATGCCGAAAGCCATCGTAGGTGATGAAGCATTCTTTCAAGAAGACTTTCTGACTTATTACCGAACTCATGGTATCAAGGAATGTCCCTGTGGTTCAAGAACCCCATGGCCTAACAGAGCTGAATCAGCTGTCAGACTTTTCAAACGACAATGGCAAATCATGTCCAAGAACCTT